CCCTACAAGTTTCAAGAACATTGAAAACAGGGAAGGCTTTTAAATAGGGTCTTAGATATAACCAATTTTTTCCCCAGATTTTGTGTTTACAAGTGAGCGTCCTCATTATTCACTGGCATTGTTTTCACGTTTCATATGCACGTGCGCAGAGTTTCTCTCCGCCGGAGCAGCCAAAATCTGGTTATTTGGGCCTCACAGCGCATGCTCTTTGATCCAACCAAAACGTTTTGCTTCAGTTTTAAATCTACTTCATCGCGAAAGTCTTGTGCTGCTTCAGTATTAGAACTGAAGAAATTTAGTTAACGGCCTTGAGGAATTTTCAGGTATCCAAGGCTATTGTGGTAGCTGCTAAGAAAATTCTGTTAAACGTTCCCAATCACAGATTTGAGACTTGAAGTTTGCATGTGTTTGACAATTGATCTATAAATATCTAGTCGCATTATACACTCATCACTTTAGGGAACGATTTACTTTTTCTGTTTTTTTTTTCTTTGCAAGTCTGTTTTTGGGCAATTTACGAAAACCTCGTGTGAATACGATAACGTAGAAGTCAGAGAAAAATCAGTAAAGTGATTAAATTATAGCTGGCAAAGATGTCGGTGTATTTTTATTTGATTTTTTCACATTCAAATCTTTTTCTGGTTCAATTTTCGATATGTAGCTAAGCTATTTTATTTGAAAATTGGAAAATCCAGTAATTCTGCCTAATTAGTCGTGCAAATGTTGTTTCGGAATCGCTGAAATCAAGAATCGGTCGGTCTTGTTTACGTCAACATTTCTAGGGAAAAACCCGATCACACGCCAGAGACGCCGCACGTTCAACCGCTCTCGTGCAAACTTGAATGGAACAATCAGAAACACTTTCATTGTTTTTTGCTGGAACCAATCAGAGACAATCTTGCTCCAGGGTTCCCTAGAGCTCTTCATCTCTCTCCTCTACATGCACAGAAGAGCTCTGGGTCGAGATTGAAATTGAGACCCTTTTCACTTTCATAATACGCATGCGCAAAAGTGTCTATAGTGTAGGTGTTTGCGCAATAACAGTTCTCAGTACAATTGGACGGAAAGGGTGGCAGTGAAAAGGCTGACATCCCACAATAGCATGTGTCACCTGAGCCTATAAAAGTCAGAAAATCGAGAAATCTTGCCATACTTACAATGCACTGGAGCTACTGTGATCACGAAGGCTGTTCTCCCGGAGCAAAGCCACCACACAGTACACAAACAGGCTAAGCTCCGTGCGTTTCCCACGCATGTGCTGGGTGGCGAGGTGCAAAATTTTTGTTAGTTGGGCAAACCTGCGTTCGCGCTTGTAGCCCCTAACATTTTCAACTAGAGCGAAAATTTACCAAAAGAAGAAAAAACGGTCACAACGATCGGACACAAGCACCATTGAAAACAAACACGCACTAACAACACACAAAAACGTTTCGAAGGAGTGCGTCAGAAAATAAAGGCAAAGCTTAAGCTTGTTGACTGTTAGAATTGGAACGAATAACGCTGCCCAAACATCCTATTCTTATAGCGTAAAACGTTCCACGTACACTTATGATCAATAGAGTGTGGTGCGATGATATAATATCTAAACTAGTATAGTGATAACTAGAAGATAAAGGTCGAAACAGCTTTCTCAAGGATCTAGTGTTCTTGGCGCGACAAAGATTACAAACTCCAAAAGGAAAAGAAATTAAGAGTCCCGGCTTCATAGCCATACTTTTTATTGGCCTGCGTTTTTCATTGTTCCATTTTAATTGTCAGCTTCAAAGGCTTTCACGAAATTCGAATGACAGATGCAACATCTATATTAACTCGTAAATTACCTTCACTTTCTTTTTAAGCTTTACTGTTTTTGCATTTATTTTACACTTTCGCCTTCTTTCTGCTCCTTGTGTCGACTTTTGTTTTGTTACCCGGTTTATCCACCAAAACATGTACCGAAACATAATATAAAGCTGAAAATTAATATGAGCTTCTTGTTTTCCATTTATTCGGCCCAGTGAGTTGACTTCTCTGTTTGCTTTACTCAAATAAAGAGCCATCTATCTTCAAAAGACTCAGCAATAGTTCATAAATTCTCCAACCTGTCTTACAGAACAAAACGCCGTTTTTCGTTCTAGAAATGAAAGATTCATATTATGCAGGACTGCTATATATCAACTGGTTAAAGAAGCCAGGGTTTTTTTAACATTACACTTGATACAAGTGCGAAGTAAATGACACTTTTTGTGGAGAATCGGTCGAACCGCTGAAATAACAAACTGTCTTGATGGGCAGGTTTCTATCTTAATGTAGAAAAAGCAAATATTCGCTCTAAATTTTGCAAAATTCACAAACCCGGCAAAGGCACAATATTTTCACGTCCTCCCTTTAATTAAATGACAAAGCACAAGCCGCAAAGTTTTGACATTAAAAATCGCTCACTCCTCTCTTAAATTTTTAAAGGCAACACCATTTTGAGCGAGAGGAATGTTTCTCTCCACTTTTTTTTTTTTGGCGCGGGGGTGGAAGAGGCATCAGTCCAAGATTATCCTATGTTTACTATAATTTCGCAGTTACTAGTAAGCTTGCTGTTGCACTCGCTGACAACATTTTATTAAACGGTGCCATGAATGCACTAACAAATTGAAATATAGAATACGGAGAGAAATATGTATCAAAAGTAAGTTGAGTTTGATCGTCCGGGTAAATGTAGTCGTGAATACGACTGTTGTTGTTGACAGTGACTGACGTTTCCACAACCTGTGCGGTAGTCAAACTCAACCTACTTTTGAAATGACTCCTGGGTTCAAACCTTTCACAGAAATATATATATTGTAATTATCGCACTGAAGCTACGGAAATCTATTTACAAGGCCTTATAAGGTTGAATGTTTTGATTAGCACAAAATTAAAGTATTTTTTTGGTCTCTCAGGTTATTTTTCAGTTATTGTTTTCACCAGTTAAAATCAAGATGAGGCCAAGTATAGTGGAGCCGAGAGGAAAAGCTAACAAGGGGTGGATTCAGGGGTGAATTCACACCTCTCCGTGTATGATCACATGTTTTAACGATTAAGGGGCGAGGTAAAGAACGCTTGTGATTACTAGCATTTGCTGTCTTTTTTATATTAATTACGCGCGTTTTTATTATGTATGCTCTTTTGCGCGTCATTAAATTTAGAGAAAACAATTTTATTTATCTTTTTGCGAAATTTAGGTTTTTCATTTTTCATTGGACCCTTCAATACTTTCAGCAGCCGAAGTGGCCTCAATTTCCCTATCAACTATAACTTGACTAGGCCTATGAAACAAGTCAGTTTTCTGATGGATTGCTTGCTTGGGCGGCTACAATTTGTGATCATCGTTGACACTTTGGTTTTTCCGCCTACACTGAGACTGGTCTGTGATTGAAACATGGGTGAAGCGTATCGTGGAGGAAATTAGAATGCGCGCATAAATGCAAAAGGTTTATGAGGGTAGTTTTAAACAGCATTCCTACGTAACAAAGAAAATAACGCCCGATTTATAAAAACCTTAACCTAATTGAAATGCACAATAGAAGGAATTGAAGGAATATTTCATTATGTTTGCGTAATTTTGACACGATTGATAACTTCAAGTTGTATCAGTTGTCTTTTCACCTACGCTAAAATTACAGCTGCTTTTAAGTTTGCCGTCGTGAGCATTTATCATCATGGCACGCACCATCTACACCTCTACCAGACCTAATTCTAAAGAGTCTGAGGCTTGATCCGAAATCATCATCCAATTCACTGATCTGTTATGTTCGGATCCGTGAAAAGTTCCTGGAAGTTAATAAACGAACGAACTATCGGATAGGTTAAACACAAATATTCAATCCACGTAATTAACAGCGTCGTAAGAATATAGTGTAACAGCTCAGTGACAACAAAAAGGAGCATTCTTGTATGAAATTAAAATCCGCGAATAAAATCTCGACTGTTTCAACTTTGGTTCAATGGTAGAGTCAATACACACATGTCAAAGCTGTCAAATTATACTAGAAAATGTTAAAAAAGAAGTTTATTAACTTTACTTTCATTTAGTTTAAATATGTCAAGAACGGGCTTCTTTTTCCGATTCTAAGCTTTGTTTTCCGGCTCGAACAATGTATATATTTCCGCTATTGATTCAAGGGACTATTCTGTACACAGAATTCAGAAATCTATCATGACAAACGGAAACTTGAAGAACTGGCTTTCATGAGAGTCTTTGGTAGAGTAACTCGAGCTTGAGTCTACAAAACTGTCAAACCAAACAATTCAGACATATTGGTTAAGAACACGTTATTTTAAATTTTAATGAAAGTTGCAAAGGTTAGTTTTCTACAAAGTATTAAACATAAGATAACGAAATTGACAGATCTATCAAGGTAGCACTGAAATTGTCATTGTCATCGCCTTCATCACCGTCATCGTTATTATTATTATTATAATCTTCTCAAACTCATTAATAATTCATAAAGAAAATTCAAAGGAAATTAATGTTTAATGAGTGTTTGGATATCAGATGAAAAACTGCTCATTTTTGCATCCTTAATTTCTCCTTCAAAAATGATTTTGTTTGAGAAGAAATATCAAACATTCGACACAGTGTTTCATCACCAGATGAAACACCTCAAATTTCGTCAAAAATACTCCGCTGCGCGTCGTATTTTCAACTCTCTTCTCGGTGTTTCATCTGGTGATGAAACACTGCATCTCATGTTTGAGATATTACATCATCATCATCAGCAGCAGCAGCAGCAGCAACAACAAAAGCACCATCATCGTCATCATTGTTATCATCAGCATAAGCATCAGCATCGCCATCAGCACCAGCTTCATCATCATCATCATTATTATTGTTATTATTGATAAAAATAAACAAGTCTAACCCTCCGAAAGCCAGTTCGTTTGCAGAATTAACTGTCTACGCTTTCTAACCACCCCATAATAAAAGGAAGCCAGAATTAGAGGCAATAGATAAGACGAAAATGGTCTTTATTAAATATTGAAGTCATCTTTTATTGAAATGCAAAAACAGAAATTTTCCTGTTTCTTCCTTGTTCAGGACAGCCAGTAGGCGTGTTTCTTTTGTCACCGGACAACTTTGGAACAGGAAAGCAACGAGAAAGTGTCGCCACGTTCACCGTCTCTTCACCAAAATTGATTCCATCGACACTAACTTCATCAGGTTCTTCATTTTGGGAGGGAAAATTGAAAGTATTAATGCTGTCTGGACCATTGAATTTATAGTGGTTTGCAACCTCATCTTGAAAGCGAACGAGAGACGTTTTCTTCTTTCTTGTTGATCCATTGTTTAAGTCTTCAAAGTTCTCTGATGTGTTTGATTTTCGAAGAATCCCAGCTTGATTACTAGACTTTTTCCTTGGGATAATTTGCCCGTCGTTAATTTGAATGTTATTCATGGTAAGGCCATCTTCAAAGCGGACCACAGATGTCTTCTTCCGACCAGGCATTTCAAAGTTTTCAGTTCTGGTTATTGAGTCTGTACTTGCGTTATCAGGCTTTGTGTTTTCAGCAGTATTCTCGCTTTCAGAGCCTCTAGAATCCGATTCCCGTCGCTCATCGCTTGAGTCACGTGATGGCCCAAAAGTAGCCCATATGCCCTCCAAGGATTCGTCTGCTGACAACGAATTTGGTCCACTGGGCATGCCTTGCTCACTGCAGCTGCTGACCACGGTTGGCGATGGCTTTATAACCCCGAGCGTGATAGAGCTAACGGACGGACGCATTGGAATGTTCTTGTGGGGTCGAAACAAGATAATGTAAATTTTTGGTGCAAAGATACTCGCCCAGGTAAGGGTACCAAGAAATATGAACATAAGACTTGAAATGACCGCTCTGTACCAAGCTGTGGTTCCCATGTAAGAAGGAATATAGACGAGTATAGTTATACACATAGTGGTCATGTTGAAGGCTATCAGTCTTGATTCGTTATAATTCTGCGGCACTTTGCGCACAAGGAAAGCTTGATATGTGCACACAATGACCAGACCTGCATTGTAGATCAGCCACAAAGCAAAGCCGATTTGACTTCCAGTTAGATTGCATACGAGTGAGGCATCTTTAGAAGATTCCGAATATATAACTTCTTTGAAAGCACTGGTCGAAGGCCCGAACACCCAAGCAATTGAGAGTGCGAATTCAGTGGTCAGCAGGCATCCAAGTATAAAGAGTTGCCAGTAGTTGCTTAGGCAACTGATGGTTCCTGTTCGAAGGAGCTTTTCATTGAAAATCCTAGAAACTCTGTTGGTTCTGATGAGAATGGTTCCTGTTAAGAATAGGCAAACAATGAGTAAACGATCATCACCTTTTTAAAAAAAAAGAAATGAAGAACGAAAATGGAGAAAGGAGACAGAAAAACTAAAAGGCACGGAAAATTGTAATTGCTTTATCGTTTCAACCTTAACTTCCTATATGAAGTAAAGTCTTCAGAGCTCCTATTTGTCTTCGTTGTTGTTGTTGTTGTTGTTGTTGTTGTTTTTTTGTTTTTGCATTACATATATAATATATGAAATCACGGAAGAAACTGACAAATTAAAGTTAAAGCAGTTTTCACTGTCATAGTATCATAACAAAGAAGGAATAATATTGAAGTGGGAAAAGGTTGGAAGCCATGGCCAAGAGTCATTTTGTAAGTAGGTTGAGTATGATCATCCGGGTGAACGTAGTCCTGAATAGGACTGTTGTTGTTTTCAGTGACTGACGTTTTGACAACCTGTGCGGTTGTCATCACGACATTTGATGGTATTAAACTCTGGTTATTAACCTGATTGGTCAATTAAGTCGCCATGTTATTGATCGCCTGTCACTTAAACCGTGATGTTATAGGCCATTCGCACTAAGAAGTCATGTGACATCGTTTTTATGAAATGAAAGTTATATGATTTTGTCTTCGAAAAACGATTAGAGGGTCGTATCTTAAACAAAATAATAGCGATTTGGTGTATCAGACCCGCACCATTTTCTTAAAATGAGTAAGTTTGTAGCTGGTCACGTGACCAAATGTGATTTTTTATGAATTACCTCTTTCTGAACACAAATTTTGCACTTAAACTTCAAGGAAAATGTTGAAACGATGACGTGGTGACGTTTACAGCACATCTGAGCGTAACTATCAAACGTTTAACGAGATATAAGCAAAAAGTAGTTTTGGCCGCCATGTTGGAGGGCAAGAGTATGCGGCCAATACAAAGTGCCATAAAATAGCTCCCTTAAATGCGTTTCCTCTCAAATTTCGGGTGTAAGATAATTTTTACGTGCTCTGTCAATTTTTTAGCCTGAAATTCATCCGATTGCTTCGAGTCGTTTTCTCCTCTCAACAACGTCTGAATCGATCAGCCGTTAATGCCGTCCAGTGACGTCACTCACTACCCGAAAACCGGGTAGTGATTTTGATTGGTTGATTGTTTAAACATTCGCATAATTATGTATAATTATGAAAAAATTTAGCGACAACAACACTTTATTCACATTTCCATTACAGGGTTTGTCAAACTTATTGAATAATTAGTAACTTAACACGTAGAATATTCAATTCTACGTGTTTCTACGTGTTAAGCGGCATCTTTCGTTTAGCTCAAACATTTCGATAAGCTTAATCTTAATATCTTAAACAGCAAAATTGCCCTTGTCTTGGAAACTGAAATGCTAAATTGAACTGCGAATGAAAAATCATTGCGGAGAGTCGGTAGGTTTTTCATTTAGAGCCGCTTTGTGGTTTCGGGGGCCGGTGATTTTGTTTACGCGAGGTTTTCTGAGGTCAATGTTACAATTCGACCTTCTTGCTATTTTTATCGTCAAGTCTAATGATTCTGTTAGCTTTTCTTTCTTGACTCCTTGTTTTTTTTTTCTTCGTTAACGACCAAATAGCTTCTTTTCAATCGAGCAAATCACTGTGTTTTTGAACTAAGTGTTCCGTGTGCAGGCGCGGATCCACACCGGTTTCCACCGTTTTACGGAAATCGGTCAGATTTTTCATAATAAATACATTTTTAATAATAAAAAACACTTTCCAAGTTGGAACCTGGGCAATATGCTACCTGAGTGACTCGAAAACCCAGGAAAGGGGACTTAAAGAGTTAAACACCAAAATATTTCTTGGGAAGCCTGCCCCCCAGACCCCCTTAGATAGTGCTTGCGCCTTCGGCCCTCGTTTAGGAAATCGGTCTGTATTTATTCCAGATCCGCGCCTGGTGTGTGTGTTTATTTCATGGCGTGATCGCATGACTACGACTGAGTTTGATCATAGAATTTAGTACAACCGGTTCAGAGTTGTACGGCATGCAGTTGATAGTTTGAACGTTAAACATGAATTACAATGGAAAAAAATAAAGCAGTTCCGTATCATGCAGACATTTCCAAACGATATTTCTCGGTTTGCCACTTGAAAATCGTGTTTTACTTTTTGCATGAATTAAGGCAAAGGTCAAGGAGTAGTGACGTCACTGGACGGTATTAACGGCCGGTCGATTCAGACGTTACTGCGGGAGTAATAACGACTCGAAGTAATCGGATGAAATTCAGGCTATCAATTTTAGGCATCAGCAAGATTCCAACTCATTGTTTAAAGAAAGCATTGGTCACGTGACCTCTCAGTGCAAGTGGCACTATTGGCTATGAGGACTCGTAATGTCATTGGTGCGTTTCTCGATCCGTCTATTGTCACTGTTAAACATCCTTTATTGTTAATCAAATTGTCAGTTGTCTACTCGTTCCCTCCTAATTAATTTTGCTTGATTTCGTCAATAAACTAGTCGTTATAATATAATAAATAGAATAGAGAGTTTAAGCTTCACGAGAGTACGGCAGACTGCAAACATCAGATTCAAGTAGAGAATTTCTCAAAATAGAAAATGCGCAGACAAAAAATGTTCAAAACAATTCTTATGGATAAATAATTGCGTGAAACTACTAATTTATGTGCCGAAATAATGAACAGTGATCGACAAGTCAAGCGAAAATTTGGTCACGTGGTACAAATTTGTTGACGTAAACGTGAAGCTTATTAGTAACCTCTCTAATATCTACTCTACTGCCGTCAACCGTCAAAGCTATCACCCCATTGACAGCCTTGCATGAGGCTGGACTAGGTCTTCTTAGTCAGTTTAGGCGGAACTTAACATTCGTAACTTACCTACGACCAAAGCAAAGCACATTCCAAACATGAAGGGAAGTAATTTGCACGAGTTCTCAGAAGGTCGAATAATGTAACAAAGTGGAGTGAGATAGAACAATACAATTCCCAGCAGAAGAACATGGCTAAGCTGTCGACTCGCAGCTTTCACAACTGCAGTGCCCCGGGATTTTACAAAAACGAGACATGTACCGACCACCAGAGTAAATCCAGTTAAGGACAGGGTTACTATGGCAACGGCCCAAGCTTCGCCCCAATGCAGGTACCTTGCTTCTATGGGCCTGCAGTCCGAGTGTTCAGCTGTGGGCCAAGTTCCTTCAGGGCATTCCACACAGTTGGTCATGTTTGACGTGTTGGTGAAGGACTTCCCATCGCACTTTGCGCAATCCCAGCAGCATTCTGGGAACTGCGATTTAGGAATCCTATACTCTCCTATAAAAGAACAAGGGATATGCGACATATGTATTTCATGATTCAAAAGATACGGTACGAGCAATGATTACTTGATTCTGGTAAAAAAAAAAATGCCTGCAATTTACCAACTAGAAACAATAGGTGTTTTTCATGCAATCTCGGGAGACACAAATAACAATGGTGAAATGAACAAATGCTGGTGGACAAACAAAGCGAGCTAATGAGCGATCTTTTGTTTACCGTCCACCAGCATGGCGGCGATGACGTAACGTGAAAACCACCTATTGTTCAAACGTGAATAAACTTCTGAACTTTCAGAACGAATCTGGCGTTATTTTCATGGTCACCTCAAACATTACCTTTCTTGCAGTCTTGGCTGCAAAGCGAGGCTGGAATGTCAAAAGAATCGTTTTCCGAAGCTTTAACTAATTCAAAATTCAGAAAAGGCGTTCCATTCCTCCATGTACCAACTTTTACGTACTTAGAACTCCTATTGCGGAGGTAATAAATGTCGTATTGACCCCTTGTACTGCCCTCTTTATTAAAGAAGATACGTGGCTGAGAAAATCCAGAAAAATTGACTTTCCGTATGTACTCTGAGAGGTTTTTGGGATCAATATTGTCCCATCTTTTTTGGCATGCAGTTTTGCTGCAGTTGAGCATGGCATGCAGCGCGTGCGCTACGGAAAATACCGCGTCCATGACGTAAGGCACATAGCCATCGTGGTGAACGTCTGTTCCACATTGTTTAACTGTTTCGTCTTCACAAATTAAGCTTTTATTAAAATCAACAGTCCACGGGTTTTCTTTATCGTTCCTTCGGATGCGATTCATGAAAAATGAATCAAACCTCGACATGTTGATAATAGGCGGTCTTAAACCTATGATCGAGTGGAAAACGTCCTCAGCACCATGAATAACTTCCAACGAGCCAACCCAACTGTCTGAAGCAATGAACATGTAATCCCTCAGGGCTGCCTTCTTTGCTTCTTTGAAAAAATACACCGCATCCGGGAATTCAGCATAAAGGATTATCACCCGCGCTTGTGAAAACTGCTTTATCTTATTCAAAACGTTGCTCATTTCCTCTTTGGTTCCCTTCCGAGAGAATAACTGATCTACTACGATGCATACACGGTGTACTTCCTGGCTATTTATTGACTGTTTTAACGCAGCAATCCCAGATCTGCCATATTCATTATCCGATGCGAGCGCAATTACAAAGTGCCACTTTAATCTGTGAAGCAAACCAGTTACCGCCTGAGCTTGGAGGTTGTCGGAAGGAACCGTGCGGTAAAAGTACTGGAACCGAGTTCTGTCGCTAAGAAGGCGGCTTGTCGACGCAAAACTGATGACAGGTACGTGAAACAGGGCTGTCAAGCTCGCTGTTGCCATGGTAACACCGCTGAAAGCCGCTCCAATGATCGCTGCCGTAAGTGTTTTATTGAAACAGCATTCTGAAAGATAAGTGGGGTTTTCAGTTACAGACAAAAAATTTCTATTGATGATTCCTTTAAAAGGATTGATCCTGTGCTGTATTATATTTCTGTACAATCTGCCCATGCCATAAGAATGTTTTATTAAGATACAGAGTAAATTTGACAGGACAAATAAGACCCGTATTAGAATATCAATACCAGGCACAAAAGAGGCTGACTTGTAGAAAAATTTTATTACATAATCATTAGTTCATTCTTCAATACGATATATTATTTTATCTTTTACTAACAACAAGCCACGCGGCCACAATTGTTACTCGGCGATCGCAACAACAAAGGCGACATAATTTGTTGCTTCAATTTTGGCCAAAGGAAGACATTTCGAATGTAGATATTTTACCTTTGGTAAGGTGTTAAATCTAAAAATAGTTTGAGCTTACTGAACTGGCGATAACTCTTAGTATCGATCATCATGGTTGTTTTTTCTGCTAATGTACAATATTTCAATATTTAAAGACCCAACCGATCAGAATTGCCTCTAAATTGTCAGTTCTCTATCACAAACATTATAATAGTTGCAAAGCAACATCACAACATTTCTGATCATTTCGTGCTTACAAGTGCATTTCTCAAACGCTTTCTTTTTACTGTTTTTAATCTACTTTTCTTAAATTTCTGCAGGATATTAGATGCAGATGTCTGAGTTAGATTGGTGCTTGTAATTACAGCCTTTTGTTCGTCCTGTCGTAAAATGATTGACATCCAAGCCACCGAAACCTAAGAAACCCATCTTATCTCATTAGAAAACTGAGAATGCCCTGAACATGTATTTAAGGTCATGAATACTTCAGTTTTTGCCTGGAGGTTTACATTTAATTTTAATGTGAGCTCAGAATCGCCTATAATTTTATGTAATTAAACGCCTTAATCGAAACATGTTTGCAGTGCCAATTTAGCTTTAAAGATGAACTGTATAACATATTCAAGTTGAAAATACTCGATGTGACCACTTTAGTTCTTCATATCCAAAAAGTTAATTCTACAAATGGCTTATCGAGAATAAATGAAGAGCTTTCCTGAAAACTTGTTCTCTTCTTGTTTATACAGCTTGGCGTAAAAGTAAAGTTCAAGAAAGCGTTATAATTTTGCATAAGAAAGAATAAATTTGTAAATCCGCCCACGCGCTAGAAAATTTTCTAGATCATAGGAAATGGAACTAAAGTTTTTTCTAGCTACCAAAACACATTTACTGCTGGGGGTCGTTGATATAAAATTTTGGAGCGGGAATTACACTGGCAGGGCATTTTGTTTTTAGCTGATATTGTTGACAGAAAACCCAAGGCATGCGATTTTCGTTTTCAGTTTACAAACGAGGGTCGCCTTGTCTTCGTCAGAGCTACAATTGGAGTTTTTGCCCAAAAAACCTACGCAAAAGAAGATGTCTAGAAATTTGAACGTTTGCGATTTGTGCGGAAGTAGGCTTTTATGCAATATACGCGAAAAAAATACGAGCGGGCATTATGAGAGAGATCGATCGAGATAGTTGCCATTTTGCTGGCGGACTTTCATTCAACGGATCAGTCTTAAAATTTGATATATGTATGGAGGCCACCGATATGATGATTTCTAAAAAATATATAAATCATGATCAGTTAAACGAAGAGAAACTTGTGTTCTTATTTGTTCATGAACCTAATGGCGGCTTTATGGCTTAATTTTTTTACTTGCATGCATGGCGATTGTATCATCCGTTACGTGATGATCAGTGATAGTTCAGTTATCACAACCGTAGGAACAGGCAAAAATATGATTTCCGCCGGTGTATTGAAGATGGCTATCCACCTTATATAATAGCTCAATATCTCCTAAATACTGCCAAAGCTACTATCAGAATTAGAATAAGTTCAGTAAATGATATCTTTGACTAAATTGAACGCCTTAATAATCGGGTACTCAGTCATTTTCAACTTTTTATTGATCAGGGAAGACCTTCTGTCGAATGAACGTAAAAGCTGGTTTTCTCTGATACTTTTCCGGCCAACGAAATTGAGCTGTATATAACAGGAAAAACTGTTAACTAAAAGCTAACGACTTTATTTTCGTGTCTTTTTCGTACGCCTAATATATTTCTTGTTTTTGTGGCATTCTCCGCTTTTTTATGTATATTCGCGTTATGAAAAATCTTTTCCCGTATGTTCGGGGTTCATCATAGTCTTATAAAGGCAGGAAATTTAAAAAGCTCGACAAAAGCATTTTTAGGATCAGTGAACTTTGAATATGATAAGAATATGATAAAAGACCTGAACAACAGTTGTCATAACGTGAATACAGAACAAATAAACACAATATTCCACAAGAGTGTTACACCGGGTTTCTACACGTTTAATGAAAAGTAGTTAATTCACAAACGTGGCAAAGAAAGAATAATTCGAGCGCCTTTCCTCATTTGACCGTTTAAACCAAAGAATACCATTAGTTTGTGCCAGGAAAGATAATCAAAACATCATTTCAAAGATAAATTTTAAAATTTGAGCAGCTTGGTAGACTAAGGACGGAAAAGACAAACTTTACTCAAGCGACTTTTAAGATCAATACATCCCTACCTGACACAGTAGTATTTTGACTCTTCGATGAACTGGAATTCGCCAATTGAGAGCTTGAATCGTTTAACCTTTGCGAAACACTGTGGTGGTTATTTTGCCGCAGAGGGACTTCTTCCCGGCTTTCAGCGCATCCTGCGAATTCATTTTCAGCAAATGCGTTTCTGATAAAGTCAAAACTTAAACTTTCCATAATGGCATAGTCAATACTGCCACATGTGTCTTTAATGTCAACGCCCAGCCTTAAGTTAGGAAGCAGGTTTGAATCGTTGTTGATAAGTTCTACTGCGTACAGCATGGCCTCCACTCCCTTGAATCCACGAACATGGAAGACTCCTCGGCATGATGTGTTCCCTGGATGAGGGGCTAAGTTGGGCGAGAAATGCACCGGAATTAGAGCTCCAAGTACGATATCGCCTGATATAAAAAATCTTGTTCTATTCTTCTTAGCGATCGCCGCAGACAGTTGAAAGGGAAACATCAAATCTATTGCAGTCTTAAGAAGACATAGAATTAATAGCCTCATTGCTTACGCGAGGACGATATGGCTTCAAATTAACCGGCAACACTGCTTAGAACTAAGTGACATTAGAAGCTTTTTAAAAATTGGCTTTCTTGCTCGACCGCTCGACATATTTTTCTGCATAATGATGACTGAGAATGCAGCTTGAGCAAAAATTGTCGATTTATCTAGTAATCAGTGGGAGTGTCTCCTGACACTTTCAGGTTATATTTGTCTAAGACATGTCGAGGAAAACGATAAAAGCAATAATGTTAACGTCGTCGTCGCGTTTTAATTTAATCACGCCACCTGGCGCGAGGAAATTTATAATGCACTTGCTGAAAGCCAGAAGCAGCTTGTTTGTCATGAAAATTGCCTGGGAGAGGATCAAGTTTTTGGAGAGATTTTTTTCGGATTTTCCAACGATCAGTCTGCGAGATTTTAGCGCTTGTGGAAATCGACTTCCAATTAAAAACGGGTGCTCAAGATTACAGTTTCTTCTTTTACTTAAAATCCTGAATTTGACTGGGCTACAGAGTAGACTGTTGATCAGCACACGTCTTGATGAAGTTAATTAAAACAACAACAACAACTAAAATCAACAACCAACCCCGGCTACTTCTTGTAAACACAGCCTGAACAGATCAGCATCGTCGCTAGGCTTTTCCCCAGTTTTCAGAGTTTTCCTATTTTCTAACTGAAAAGCCCTGGCGACGAGAAGGCCAGGTTTTCCCATGAAAAAATGAAGAAAGGCCTGGGGACGAGATGGTGGAGGGCGATGATGACGTCATCGTGACGTCATGGAGAAGCAACTACTGCAGTGTCAGTTTTCGAAAATGGCGCTCTTTTGCGCTTAGTAAAAAGACGTCTGAAAGTCAGGTGCCGGAAGCACACAGAGTGAGTATCATCTGATGCGATTGTTATTTGCACAATAATTTTTTCTCCGTTTTTTCCCCTGTTTTTTTGTTTGGTCTCGCTTTCAAACCTCGCATCAGTTCTCACTGTTGAACACGTGGAATCGTGTGACAGACACATGACTTACCCATAACTCCTCGAGGCGTAAGTATACCGACTTTGTAGCCTGGCAAAAGGAATGAGATTGGAGGGCTGGACATCTTGTTTTGTTCACAACTGTTGTCTTTTTGGGAAAATTTGAAGAGCGATGGACAAATTTCAAGCTCTTTTAAAAGCATTAGTGCTGTATTTGAGCCTTCTCTCGCGTTCGGTCTTTTCCGAGACTAATACCAAGGGAGAAATATGTCCTCAACATCAAGGAACAGATCCCAACAATGTCAATGCAAGAGTTGCGAAGTTCGCTGGCAAAGAGTAAGTAAAATTCTTGTGTTCATAAGCCGCAGAAAGTGAAAACGAAGAAATTTGATGGCGCACAGTATAGTGCTTTATTATAGAAGTTAAGCGAGACAAAATTTTGATTAAAAATCATAGTACAGGTGTTTGGCCGTGCGGAAATGATCATCAAAGTCGCCAGACGCTGCTTTACGTTAAGCTTAAGTTTATATGAAACAGTGAATCACTGGTTAATTATGACGTGTAGTATTGTACTTTTGGTTAGCTACATTTTGAGCGAATTTAAATTATGTCTCATTTATCAGTTGAATAACCAGATTTTAAGCTGGATCTGCGCTCAGTCTAAGACTGGTGATTATGAAATTCATATGGTTAATTTGCTGTGTCACGCAACTGTAATTCAAAGTACTTTACTGTGCATCCTCTCAACTTCTTTTTGTTTGTTTACTCTTTTTTACTGTTACACAGTGCAAGCTCATGCTTAATGTTCACACACTTTCTATTCCAAAAACTACCCAGTCAAATCTAGTTTGAAAGAAGTCTAAAAACATTTTAAGGTCATAAAAGAAAGAAAAAAAACATTAAATAAGAAATTTGGCAAAAGGCCATTCCTGAGTTCCAAATACTTTCACTTCCACAAAAAGGCTGAGTACAAAACCTTACTTGTGGAAATCAGTTTTATTGGCATAGCAAATCATTTTCACATCAGGGGAGCTTTGCGCTTAGCTTCTCTCTGAAACAGAGACTTAGGGCAACTCTATATGGCCTATCCTTTGAAAAGGATGTACTCTCCAGATTTTTTCCGAACTTGGCCCAATAATTATTAATAGTCATGTATAGGCCATTTAAAAGCTATGGTAAAAGATGGGGTCACCCCACTTGTTTTAGCCTGTGAGCAAGCTCTCCGGGGTGCTCTGGCAGCGAGGCTGCTAAAGGAAGGAGATCTTGCAACTATGTCTCCGGAATTTGAATTCTACCTCCAATTCCCCTGTGGCTCCCCATTGACCTGGCTGTCAGATTTTCACCAATCAACACGAATGTAAACAAACATTGTAAACATGTGCCAAGGGTAATGATGTCATTACTAATGTCACCTCTGCTAATGAGCATTTTGCATCGACTTTTTCGATGCAGATATTCAAATTCCAGAGACGTAGTTGCAAGCTCTCCTTCCTTTTCCCGCCCCGCCACCAACCTCATTCCCAGGGTTCTGTCCTACCCATCCCTACAGAGTGAGAGAGAGAGAGACCCTGGTTGGGTCTGGCATGTGGCTCCAGAACAAAAGTAATTATGACAGAGGTGTCCCTTGTCTCACAATTTTGTGTCTCATTCACGCAATGATTGCAAGTGTCTGCAAGAGCAAGATAAACTTGCTAACCCTACAACCATATCTGAAACCATAGGAAATTTATGCCCAAACAGAACTGCCACTCAGTAAACAAGTTGTAGTAGTTTAACCGACAACACCAGTCGCTAATAAAAAGATACGATCTTGAGTTCTACAAAAGCATGTTTATATTGAAAGGAAAGTCCCTCTATGTTAAACTTGCATTTAAAGTATCAATGTTTGCCTCACAGCGGCTGGTAATCAGGCTGAACCAGTGTACTGAAAAAGCTACACCAGTAGCGGTCTTAGCGCTTCAGGAGCAGGGAATTCACATTTGATGGACCATCAAAATGATATTTATTAAATCTAGTGACTTCATGGAAAGTTATAGTCTGAAATGAAATGTCAGCTTTGTCCACCCCCTAACCTTTGTTATGATGGCCAGTAGAAAAATGTATCGCTTTTAGTGTTAGATAAAGATAAATAGTGCTTACAAACAGATGCAAAGGATGACCACAACGCGATGGATGACAACAGGAAATCATGCATTATAAGCAGAGACAAAACAGATAACATAACCTTCCAAGCGAAAGGCTTTCTTGTACCTGGTCCATATGAAAACTTTATTAAAAAAATGTGCATGCAGCCCAGTGATTTCTTAGAATCCTCCAAAGCTAAGCATACCTTACCCTCCAGAAAAAAAAAAAGGAACAATAATTAACGGTTGGCAGTCGTGCAAGCCAATTTTTTACAAAGATGCGTACGGCCATTCGGTTGATTTTAAATGACAATGAAAAAAGCTGAAAGTTGCAGAGCCATAGATTAAAATATACTCTTTCAAGACTCTGTTTACCTCTTTTCATTTGAACAATCAAACTGTGTCCAGACGGCGTATTCTCTCTTCCTGTTGCTTTGACCTATTTAATTCATTTTTGAGGTCAGTAAGGACTGCGACACTTGATACTTCTTTTTGGTACCCTTTCGAACTATATAATAGTAGTCTTGAAAGCACGTACATTTGTTTTCTAATGTGGCCTCCACAACTTAGAAATGGCGATTCAAATCCAGTACATTTCGATAAGCATGAATACTACTGCATAAATTATTTTTGACTGCACAAGCGGTGACTGAATCTGCGATTTCCTCTGTATGCGCCAATATTCGAAGAGGACAGCATCTCCGATAGATAAGCAACCAGATATTCTGAAGTTCGTTACACTTTTGCTTTCAAAGGATTTTGTGCATTATTTTCGGCATTCGAGGTTTTGTCTTGATAGTCATGACCTTTAAGACAAGGTCAGGTACACAGTTTTCCATGTACGCTCTGCAGAGACAAATCTCACACTTAATCTCCCAGATTCTGGGAGAAATGTGACCAGACCCAACCAGGGTCTCTCCATGGGTAGGAGAGAGAACCTGGGAATGAGGTTGCCCTGCCGCCAGAGCGTCCTGGAGATCTTGCTTGCAGGCTAACTTGTTTTTGGCTTGAGTGCCAATTGTTTTAGGTTGTTTTTACTAAGTTGCGTCCAAAATGTGAACAACCTTCAAAAATCGTTATTTTCTTTTATACTTAAAATATGTTTTTCATCTCCCCAATACGAGAAAATAACACCAATACAAATGGGTGACCGTACTCCTCAACAACACACATACTTCCACCCCAAGGTGGGTATTGAAGAACAGTTTGATTCTTTCTCAATATTAATTGGTATGATCATTAAAAGGTGTGATTATCGTGTCATGGCTGGTATACTGGACAATGCTACTCAAGATCGCGAGATTTTAAGCAAAACTATCATTCAATACAGTAGATGCTCGATATAATGAATTTCAAAAGAACTAAGTCTTCCGAGGAACAAACAAAAATATTATGCTTCTCCCCAGTCAAAGTATTTATAATGTACATGTATTCATTAAAAGGAAGGTGTGAGGAGGCGTGTGTGGCTGAGTGGTTGACACCTCAAACTCCGGATCTGGAGGTCCGGGATTCAAGCCTCGCCCGTCGTGTTGTTTCCTTAGGCAAGGAACTTTACTCCACTCTGTCTCTCTTCACCCAGGTGTATAAATGGGTACCGGCAACTTACTGCTGGGGGGTGACCCTGCGATGCACTAGCATCCTGTCCAGGGGGGGAGTAGCAATACTCCTAGGTGCTTCATGCTAATGAAACCGGGATAAGCTCTGGCCATTTAGGCCTTTGGCTCGTGTACACCTTTACCTACAAAGAAGAACCTTGTTATACATGATGTACATGTAACAGAGCCTCCTAACGTCAAGCCAGTCTCGTGGCTCATCATTATAGTAATAAGGATCCACTGTATCTGCTTCTGATTAAATTTTAGCTGATTCAACATAACCTTCCATCCTTTGCAGTATATATTATGCAGAAGACGATGATTACCAATATAAAATAGAAGTCTGTCACAATAGCGCGGAAAGTATAGCTGTAACACAAATGGGGAAAAAATGGAAAGGTGCTAAATCCTGGTTGACCATAGGAACATATGATGGAGCTCATGTTACTGGTGGGAGTAAGTACTATTTTTATTCCATGTTGATGATGTGACCATTTAAACTAAAAAATATAATACATTGTACATTATGTTGCAAATGGCCCTTGCAAAACCATGTGTGGCACTCAAGTTAAGCCCTGCCAGGTGTGGTAAGAAACTGCATGGGGTTGTGAGGAGGGGTTTTTCAAGCTTTCCCCACGCAGCTACCTCTTGTAATTGTTTCCCATGAGTTTAATCTGTTGACGCGGGAATATGCATTTACGGCTCTGTGATTGTAAGAAGAGCTTAGGGGCTCCTGGCTTTGGATTTTAGTGGAGGAGATTCACATTCAGGGTAGTTTCTGTACATTTTTGTACAGTTTACAATCCCCTATTTTTTTCTGGCTGATTGTAGATGGCATTCGCTGCCATCCTGGTTTCTTATGGTGAGTAAAATCTGGGGAGAGTACAAAACGCCTCTAGGAACAGGTACTACTACAAAGATAGTGGTACAGGCAGACCATCTGAACTGTTTGAGGCATTGTGATGTCCCGTGGGATGTGTGATCTCATACATTTACTGTATTTCGTGACATTTGCTCTCAGTGATTGGAAGAAATGCTTCATAAAACACAGAAACTTGCACCCTTTTATCCCAAATGTTAATATAATGTAAGGAAGATGAATAAAGATAACTTATCCTATGTTTTTACTGTCATCTTCTGTGTTGTTTGGCATTTCGAGTTGTTTGAAGCTGACCACCCCTTACTGAAATCTTACAAGGGGTGGGTTGTGCTTGGGCTCTTTACTGTCATTTGCGTTGAACTGCTTGAAACGTCCCCCTCCTCCTCAGAACCCTTTGCTCTTTACTGTCATTTGAGGTTGAACTGTAGTGGCAGAAATTCCATACTCACTTGCAAACCAATGTTTAAATAAATCCAGTAGTCATGGGGCTCCAAAATATTTTGTTTTGTCATTTTGGTACTCAGTGGTGATACAAAACTCAAATGCTTCTTTTGATTATTTCTTTTTATCTATTTTGTTTTCTTTTTTTTTTTTATTTTATTTTTTGTCATTTTTATAAAAAATGTTTCATCGACCAATTTAGCGCTTCTGACTGGATTCCGGACAGATTTTTCGTCATCAGTATGGAATTTCTGTCGCTGAGTCGCAGACGTTCCTCCGCGTGAAACGTCCCCATCGACGAAGAGCGAGGAGAAACGGATGTTTTCACTGGCTACTCACTTGCCCAATAAATAAATTCCGGCAAAATATTGTTTTGTCATACTCAGTGGTGATACCAGTTTCTTTTTTTATTATTTTATTTATTCATCATTTTTTTACAAAAAAATATTTCATTTTATTTTTTGTCATGTTTTTTCATGTTCTGGGATGTTCTGAAATGTTCCAGAATACAGTAAGCTCAGATATAAGAAGCCTGTGATTTAATTAAGAACCTACAGGTTGAAATTTCGCATTTTAAAATATAAGAACCTTTTCAGCCTGGAAAAGAAAAATAGTTTCTTACACAAAAAAGTCAATCCAATTTTGATGTTCAAAATTTTGGATTTTAATTGTGTGAGAAACTTCTGACAAAACTTTATTGTGTATATTTTTTCTTTGATTTAGGTTTGCTTGGATTTTCACTAGCAATTTCTTTTCTGTAAACCATTATGTATCAGTAGTGAAATATTTTTACCAATGGTTACACTACGACAACCTCTGAAAAATAAGAACCTAAATTGGGAAAAACTACCCTATAATAGAAGAACCTGTTCAACCTGACCTGAAAAATTCTAGGTTCTTATATGTGGCCTTTGTATTCCATGTTCCGAGTTTTATCTACAGCCCTGTTAGCAGCCAAATGGGGTTTCACTGTACTGGCATATCACTCTAAAAAGTTCTCACTTACATCTGTATGATGATGATGACGATGATGATGACGATGATGATGATGATGAAACTTTATTAACCCATTCGCCCCTGAACCGCCCGTAACCGCCCGTGCGGATCCAGGTCCTTTCTACCCTTTGTGACGTCATCAGTTTTAACGGTCAAGGACAACTTTCTTCGCTAACTTGTGCAGAGTGAAGAGATCTTTTAAACCATACCAGAATGAGCACAATTCAGTCAAGGAGGCGGAGGGAAGCAAAAAACCACGTGACATTGACCTGAAAATCTCCATGAAAATTTTGTTCCATTACCCAACCCCTTTCACCTAATCCTAAGATCCTAAAAGCTTTCCTAAAAACTCTTCCCACCAAAATGATGCCTACTAAATGATGAAAAAAAAATGATGAAATGGAAAAAAGAAGGGAGGATGAAAGCGAAAAGTAAAAGTCAAGACTGCTGTGTCACTTTTAAACCCAAAAACTATCTTGAAATTTTGATGATGATGATGATGTTTTGATGATGATGATGATGACCTGTAAACTTTAGTTTTAGGTGCACAACAGTAAAGCTTCCTCCTAGCAAAATTAGGATCCTAGCTTAAAAACCTATGCTAATAAGGGGACACGAAATAAATAAATATAAATATAAATTAAAGTATTTACGTATAAGCGCAGGTATAAAAAAAAATAATGACATTAACAATATTTACAGTATGACAAACTATATCTAATGCACGTATTTTGTTTTTGAAACATTTTAAGGTGGTAACTTCTCTCAAGTCTGGAGATAATTTTCCCCAGAGATTGGGCCCCAAGTGGCGGAGGGAGTGCTTGCCATATGTTACCGTGTTGTACCTGGCAGCGGAGAAATCAGACTGCCTTAAGTTACACTTAGATCTAGGCTCAATAAAAATGTCACAGATATAGGGGGGACATAGATTGTTCTTGGCTTTATACATTAAAACACTAATGTCTTGTAGTCTTCTGTTCTGTAAACTTGGCAGTTCTGCTCTTTTTAGAAGTTCAGGGTAGCTAACATTGTTCCTAAAAACAGCACGCAGGCCCCTTTAAAAATATGCCAGGAATTCTGCAAGGTTCACCCATGTTACACCCATGTAGATAAAAATAATAGCTGATGATCAGCTACTGATGATTTCTTGATTATATTTCAATTTCTCATTACCACAGCTGATTGGATAATGATAAAATATTTCCATGGTGAGAAATACCACAGTCATTGTCAAAATGTAGAAAGAATTGCAATTGTGCTGGTGACTTGCGATCCAGGCGTGCAAACGGTGAGGCAACTTCCTTCATGTATTATTAGTGAATTTACTTAAGAGAAGGGCAGAGGAAAGAAGATGACAAACCTTGTGTGACAAACATTGAATTATTATTGTTTGAATAAATTTTCTGCCAACGTTCACCTTCCTTTAAACAGATGTTTATGAAAAAGACCACACCACAGTTTGCTCTTAAACAAAGGTGCTATGTTTGTCACTCACAAATGTTTTGCCATCCTCATCTTTGAGCTGTCCTGTTGCATAAGCTCACTATTATAGCAATAAAGAAGGCTACACATTGTTGTTAGGCTGTAGCCTATAGCAGTATACCTAGTATATTCATACATTTGTGACAAAGAGTGAGGGCAAGATGTCGGCAAAGTTTCTTCCTCTTATGGCATAAATTACTGAGGAGTTTGATAACATTGTTGTATTGTAATGCACAAAATAGTATGAAAGATTAAAATGGTTTGACCTCTTGCTAGTTTTACTGTACAAAAGAATTTTTTGTGTACCAAGAGCTTGGAATTACATAATATTAATAATTATAAAATACCGGTAATAGGCCACTTGCATTAGGAGGTCACATGACCAATGCTTCCTTTAAACAGTGAGTTGGAATCTTGCTGATGCCAAAAATTGACAGAGTGAATAAAAATTATCTTACAACCCCAAATTTGAGAGGAAATGCATTTAAGGGAGATATTTTATGGCACTTTGATTTTCAACAAATTAATTAGTATGATTTGTATTGGCTGCTGTGTTGGATGGCATACTCTTGCCCTCCAACATGGCAGCCAAAACTACTTTTTACTTGTATCTTGTTAAATGTTTGATAGTTATGCTCAGATGTGCTGTAAACATTACCACATCTTTTCAACATTTTCCTTGAAGTTTAAGTGCTGAATTTGTGTTCAAGTGGTGCAATAGGCCATTTGCACTAAGAAGTCATCAGAGGCTATTTTTATAACTTAAAATTCTATGATTTGACTTTCGAAAATCGATTAGTGGGTCATATCTTAAACAAAATAATAGTGATTTGGTTTTTCAAACCCACTACACCATTTTCTTAAAAATTAGGAGTAAGTTTGTAGTTGGTCATGTGACCAAAATGTGACTTTTAAAATTATGAATTACCTCCTTCTGCAATATTGCAACCATGGTACACATTGATCTGATATAATGATGCATATTTTATGCATTTTGTTAAATAAAAGTTAAAAACATTCACTTTACAGGGAGCTGTCAAAATTATTGAGGAGTACAGGAACACCACTAAAGATAGTAAAGGCAGAAAAGTCCCACTGGAATGTTATTACCTGTTTGAGCTTAATCATGATGCGGCTTGCTCAGTTAAGGACAAGGGTTTGAGTCCAGGCTCCATTATGCTGATCATGTGAGTTTTGTTCACTTTTGAAAAATTCTATTTCGCCAGGCAATTTGTATGGTGGTGCCATTTCAACATTAAATACCACCAAAATCAATTTCGTTTTTCTTTAAATATGTAAATTTAGTAATCCCAGCAAGGTTTAAATTGAGAAAAGCCCTACAGTTGAACCTTCGCTAACAGCCACCTCTCTGCAGCAGCCACGTCTTTTTTTTCATCCTGGCGGACAAAAAATGCAATGATACATTGTCTCTTGTTTAAAACCTATCTACAACAGCCACCTCTTTACAACCACCACTTCCTTCAGTCCCAAAGTTAAGGTGGCCATTGTAGAGAGGTTCAACCGTACACGTTGTTTGCTCATTAATAAGCAAAGCTCCCATGGATCAGGGTATAGAAAAGTGACGTCACCATGCAATTTTTAGTGACCTACAATAGGTGTATTTAATTTGTATTTATTCCTCCTTTGTGTGTTACTTGTGATTATTATTATTATTATTATTATTAGTGCGCAAAAAAGAAAAATAATTATCTGAACTTGATCAATGAAATGAGTAGAAATTACAGATGTGTGAGATTTGTAAATCTCTCCATGAGCTCCCTTGGCGTTTGCTCCGATGAATGCTCCCCGTTCTTAGACATGATGAATGACATCGGCATTGACAAAAAGCAGCAACTTTATGTAATCAAGAAAATGATAAATATAGCCATTAGAGCAAGGTATTACATCTTTTGTTGTAGAAATAGGAATTGGGATAGCCCAGACTTAATGCAATTTTGATTTCTTTTCTTTTCTTTCTTTCTTTTTTTTTTTTTTTTAATCATCCAATCTCAAGCAGCATTTGTAAATTGCCTATACATAGCGAGATTTACAAAATTTCTACATTCAAAAACGCAAATAAAGTTTCCATTATTTTATTATTATTATTGTTTAATTGTCTTTGACTTCATACCTACAGTGGATGAATGATGTAGGCCTTCCTGATTTAGCCTGTTTTACATGGTGTTTGAAAAAATTAACCCTGGCAATTGAGCCAATCAATTTTTTTTATATAATAACGATCATAGAATTAATATAATAATAATAATAATAATAATAAAAATGATGATGATAATAGTAATTTCATAAAGCATTGATAAACCTGTGTGTCCTCTTTTTCTATAGACTTATTGTTGTGGGGACAGTTTATTTATTGCTTGGCTTCTTGTATCAGAGATACATAGCTGGTGCGAAAGGTTTGGAGCAAATTCCTAATTACGATTTCTGGAGAGACTTTGGAAGTTTGCAGGCTGTAAGTTTTTTTTAAAGTGTTTATTGATTTGTTACAACTGTGCTAAGAGAGAGCAGCAATAAATTTACTTGGAATCTGTCAACAGGTAGTTGAAATGTCAATCGCTTTCTTTTAAAAATTTACTGTTAAGAGCATTTATGTAAAGAAAATATTTTCCTATAATGACTAAATGATTGAGGGCTAAACAGAATTTAGAATTGTTAATTGTCAATCTCTTTCACCAATGGACCTTTTTATAGGACAATGCTCACCTAGATGTTCATGACATAACTCATGGCCTCTAACCACTGAGAACACACAATGCATGTATTATCTTTTTATTTCAATCAAAATTATTTTCTTTTTTGTAGGATGGGTGTAACTTTATGTGCCGATGTTCAGAGGCACGTCCAACAAGATACAAAGTGAGTAAACAAAAAATTCAGCTACATGTGCGTGTATCAGTAAACAAACTTTATGTGTTGGAATAGAAAAAGATGTTGTAGTTGTAATAAATTGTGCATGTTAAAACTTCCCTTCCTTTTTCAGAATAGCCTGTTCACAGGCTATTTTCAGAAACATTACAAAGTACCAGGGCTTGTATTTTTCAAAGGCCCTTTTTGAGGAGCTTATTTTTGGAGGGGCTTATATTCGGAGGGGTTTATCTACTGTATGAAGGGAAATTTGCCTTTCAAAATAGATTGGGCTAGCCTTATAGTTGGAAGTAAATTGACTGTTTTTGCTTTGTTTTACTTTATATTTGAGGGCATTTTTCCAAGTACAAGCCCCCAGAGGGCTTATATTTCAGGGTTGTCACTAAGATTTCAAGTAGCCGGGTAAACACAACAAGTAGGCGGGGAATCAAACGGCTAGAGATTTCTTTTGGTTCTATTTTTCTTCTATTTTCCAATAAAATATTTGGAAAAGCTCTTAATGACAACCCTGTATTTGGAAGGGCGATTTAATGGACGGTTTTTTGTGTTACTGGTTTGGGGGGCTTATATTTGGAGGGGCTTATTTTCAGAATTTTAGTGTATTTTACTTGCTCTTCTCTCCCCATGGAGGATAAAGGACCACTCAGAGTCTTTGAATCAAAAGAAGAAGTGTTAATGTGTTATGTAGGTGGGAGCACAAATCTGAAATCTAAATCAAGGAAAGGATGAATGGGTTAACTCTTTGGATATGGGTGCTTTCAGTGGAGATGATCTGTATTGGAGTTTATGATCCAAGGGAATTCACACCAAGGTGCTTAAAAGCAATCGCAAAATCCCACCACCCTAACAAGGAGTTCCTCAGTCACTGCCAGCAGACTCAAAAAGTGCTCTATGTTTTATGCACTAATTAACTATCAGTTTAAGACAAGGGAACTGAAAAATGTAGAGAAGTTGGTGAAGCAAAGGAATGTGCATTTTTGTACAATCTGTGAAATTATATTCCTAGTCTACAGGCTGTCGGTTCCTTTGATGCACCATGATTTATTTGACCTTGGATCTTAATTCTTGATCTGGATCATCCTGAGGAAATGTATAGCCCTATGGTTTGTTTCGCATCACAGTGGCTGATAACTTATAAACATGTTTCTCTTTCTTTCATGTTAGACAATGGATGATGCTTTAGCTGATGATGATAGAGATGATACCTTGCTGCCTATGTAGAATTTTTAACCCTGAAGACATTGTTGAACCTCAAGTCTTTTAAACTACCATCAAAGTCGAAAAGAAAAGTTGGTCACTGATGAAGCTAATGTTTAGGTGATTAACTCTGGCATTGCAAGGCTTTAATAGGCATTATGAATTTAGTATCTTAGATAAGTAGTTATAAATCATACGCGTGGAGGCCATTCGCAGTCATTTGCAGTCACTCTCGTACTCGAGAGTGTCTAAAGTAAAGTTTAGGGAAAATACTAAATTTTATTTTGCAAAAATTCACCGACCAACAAACTATACTTTGCAGAAATTCTGCTGTTGAGGTGTTATTTGAATGGTCACCATACAATTTATTCCATGGACTTACGTTAGTGTACATGTATATTATGCAGTCTTCCTCGCTGCCGTTTTTGTCTCGTCACGCAACAAGGGGAGGAGCGTTGCGTGACGAGACAAAAAACAGCTGCGTAGGAGACTGCTCTGTAACTGGTTACTTGGAGTTCGCGGTGTAGATAGCTTATTTGTAGTTTCCGCCTTTCGGCATTTGCTTATACATGTAAGTGATAGTCTGATAGACAGGTTCAACTGTGATTTCAAACCTAGGAAACGCATAAAGCGGGTCCCTTGAAATACTATTATGTTTCGGCTGGCGGGGACAAGATACGAAACCCGTTCCCAGGGTCGGCATAAGTTAGTTTTCTTCTCACCCCAGAGGAAGTGTGTATCGGGAGATGGGGACCGTTGATGCGAGTTTGATTAAGTACAAGGACTAATTCAATAAAACTTTTACAAGCCTTAACGTTAATTTTAAAAACTGCGTAAAAAATATTAATAATCTTGGGCCCGATTTCAGCTACCCTGTTCAGTGTTTTTAACTCGAAGGCTAGCGGGCTGAACAAAATCCTTAAATAATCTTTCAAATGAAGCATAAAAAAGGTTGAACTTCCGAAAGCTATTTACGAACATAGCCAAGAAGCTAAATGCGAGACTGAAAGGGAGCGATTTGAATCCGGTTGTGAGTCAATTTCTTTATTAATTCATTCGCTAGAACTGAACAAGAGCTACACTTTGAGATCATAGCCTGCGTTGCTACCGGACTTGTCACTCGATATATGTCGGGGATTTTAGTGGCGCATCCAAACCTTCAGGCGGGGGGGGGGGGCAGTGTTGGGGGCGGCGGCAGTCCTCTAGATCCTGAGCTAAGGAGAGGGCCCGGTGTTAAAAAAAAAAATTTCGGCCCTTTGGGCCTCAGTTTGGTCTAAAAATAGAGGGCGGGGGGGAAAGGGGGGGGAAAGGGGGGGGGTCCCTGGATCCGCCACTACATTTAGATGGTCTGCGACGCAGGCTATATGAGATTACTTTTTGTGAAAGTTTTGTTTAATCGAGGCTAGAATAGCTTTTTACATTGTATACGAATAATAAGAGAACAAAAGGGTAATTAAAGAAAAAAAAATTAATAATATAGCTAGTTTTCCATCAAACCAAACCATCAAATAAGAGCTGTGACTTCATAGTTTTAGGTTTTCAGGGCTGTTCATGATCATTTTTTTATATCTTGTTTAAACGTTAGCAGCAGGTTTATTTATCTGACAATTTTAGAACCTGGCTAAATGGGAACCATGTTTTGTAGGAATATTATTCCTCCGACCGTGGCTGAACCTGGTGACTTGTGTATCGAACGAAAATTTGTGTCGGGGAAGTAAGAATGATTTTAACTTATTCAAAGTCAGCAACGCTTGCGTCAGGAACATATCAAGAGATTTAGAATCGCGTTAACAGTAAACGCGTAAAGTCAGATTCTGGTTTAGTCAAATTACGAAACAAGTAGATACAACTGCCCAATCTCATTGTTACGGATGAACTTGGGATAATGTTGCCTTTTTTGTGTAGTGGTTAATGAACCACTTTAATTATCAATGGCCGTTTTTATACAAGAGACGGTAAAGTCGCCTAGACGTATTTAACGTCGACTGGTGTAAAAACGGAACGCATAAAAGTAAACAATAACAGTGAAAACAAAAAAGACTGAGTTTTCTGGAAAAAAAGAAAATACACAGCACTGACTCTTCTTAGCCTTCTCTGAATGAGTTGGGCACAAATACGTCCCAATTTTTGGCGTCCCGATTTACAGAAGACGTTAATGTAGTCAGACGATTTAAGCGTCTGTCTTTACTAGAGACGTTAAAATCGTCTTGAGTCGACTTTAACTTCTCTAGCATAAGAACGGCCAATGACAATGCAAATACTGATCACTAATGATGGTAAAATTAAATATCAAAATAATACAATTTAATGTGGCCACAAAAGCTTTTGCTGGACTGAAAAATATTGTCTTATACTTACGGTAGCCTAGACTGGTTTGTAGTCCAAGTACCTCTGAGGATTAGGGAAAAAAAAGCAAACAAAAACACCACTTGAGACTAAAGGAAAAGTCATGCCAAGTTCATGCTCAACAAAAAAAAAAAACGTGAAAAAAACTGATTGGAGTAAAATATGTTTTTGACCTCATGAGGTTAAAAGTTTTTCCACCTAATAGGGTAGTCTCGATTAAATTTGATGTACATGTATCGTTATAATGGAGTTTTATAAAGAGCAGCAGTTTCAGCTACAAAATGTGTGATTTTCTGTTCATAATTCCCTACTAAATTTGGACTTTTCTGTCTTTCCTCTTGTTCATTTTGTTGTTTTTATATATTTTTTTTGTTTTGTCTCGTTTTATTTTATTTTGGCCCTCTTCTAGGAAATGTCCCTCTTCTGGACAAATATTCTCGTGAAAATCATTCTTGAGCTGACTTTTGGATAGAGACAATTACGATTTTCGGTAGTGGAGGCAACAGTCATTTTAATTAAACATGATTTTGAAAAGGGAACGCCCCAATGTTTTGTTGTTGTTGTTTTTTTTTTTCAACTTTTTTCGGCGAAATGTAATTTAGCGGTCAGATCAAAGCCATCATCAGTGTAAGCTTGTCGTCACATAATATGTACTGTCGTGTTTTACAATATCCGCGCGCGCGCGCTTCATTGTTCATGGGAATTTAACCCATTTTGATTTACCCTTGGCATTTTTTGCGGGAAAACGCCTCTTAAGGGTAGTCAGCCGGGCCGTTTTCTTGTCACATATACGTGTAGGCCAGCCTAGTCCATAGGCGTTCCCCCCTGACCCGTTGTCGGCGCGAAGTCTGGAAAACAGCCGTCGATTCTCTCTTGGTGTACGTCGCGGCTCACTGTAGAGTCCAGGATTGACCATGCCAAGAACGCGTAGGGACTTAACTAGGGACTAGGCTGCGTGTAAACTACAAACAACCAGAATTACCCTGCAAAGCGCTCTGTATGATTTGCCCTACTTTTTTTCCTGGTGCTAAACATTCTAGATCATATATCAGTCTTCGAAGTACGCAGAAGGCCATTTTCTTTTCCGTCGCGCCTCTTTTGCTTCTCTTGTCCGCGCGGTATGGCGCGGGAAAAGGTCGCGTCAAGGGGATTGTGCAGAAATTCTAAAAAAATTTTGGATTGTCTTGCATTTTGTTTCTTTAAGTCTCTTCCCGGCTGCCGGGCATATAGCCCGGGGGGAGCACTCCCTTATATAAGCTTCTGAGGTATGTACATGTGCCGCCCCATCCGGTCGGGTTTTTGTGCCGTTTTGGTCTGAAAACAGGTATACAATTTGCCCATTTTGGTCTGGAATCGGGTATGGTTTTTGAGGGAACTACGGGATTGTATGAAGGTATTTATCGTTTCAGTTCTAAAAGAGTAAGAAAAATATGCGAATTCGACATGGATTTGAAGAATTTTTTTGTTTGCGCTCTAATCTAAGTAATGATGACATAATTTCTGCCTAAAGGCCAGGTGTGAAAACAGGCGTGGAAAATTACATTTTTGGGTCTGAAATCGGGTCAGGATTTGGAGAACCGTGGGGCACACCCCCACCAAGATTTCCCAGGAGTACCCCCCCGGGGCATATAGACACAGTCAGGCCGTTTTGTTGTCACACATACTACTAAAAAAAACGGAATTACCCTGCAAAGCGCTCTGTATGATTTACCTAACTTTTGTTTTTGGTGCTAAACATTCTTGGTATCAGTCTTCGAAGAACGCAGAAGGCAATTTTTCAGTCCCTTCGCGCCTCTTTCGCTTCTCTTGCCCGCACGCGCCCGGCGCGGGAAAATTAAGATCGCGCTACTGATCACGTGTACATCTAATTGTTTCAACCGACTATTTTCGGCTTGGTTAAAACTCGTCAAAAACTTTTATTCAGCCTTTCTTGTTCCAACCCTTTGGATGTATTCCCGTTTCACTAGTACGAGCTGATCCGAGATGTTTGCTTATATTAAGATGCTCGTTCTTTGCCTGCTGATCGTCTCGTTCTTGCATTTCCCTTATGGAGAAGAAAACGAAGACTCTCCTAAAAACGAAGCCCAAGTTTCCTTTGAAATTAATCGTCCTAAAAGAAGTCCTTCTCATCGGTACTCGCTGGCGCACTAGAAGATGCCGTGTGTCGCAAAGGAAAGTAAGCATTGTGGAGAGCCCGTGAGTATTTTGAACTGACTCTAATCTTCCTTCTGTTCAACTAGTGTTTCATTTGCAACTGGCTCTCGCCTTAACGGCCTTATAAATAGCGAGTAGTTGGCCAAAACGTGTTCAAGCAACCTTGCACCTTGAGCAACGGTGAACAAAGAACCACGTCCTTGGATAAACCTCTTGCGGCAAACCTAGTTGGTTGATGTTGACCATTGTACCCGCACAAGAGAAGTGGCTCTGATTTACTTTAATATACGAGAGTACAGGTGGAGAGGAATCTCTCTCGGATAGTATGACAAATAAATATTATGGTACCGTCGGGGAATAGAGGGGAGGGAAATTAATCAGGGGCACCCAACGTCAATTTTCGGAAAATATCGTTTCGGAAGACGATTTGAGATCTAGAATTTTCGGAACATTTGTTGTGAAATTTCTTGCTTGCCTGCCTCATTCCTCTAGGATTTTTGAACATCTAAAAAATGGTGTAATTGCCCATTTTTAACGGATTTTTACCCTATAAAGGTCACTTAGAATTTTCGGGAGCCTTTTTTCTGGCTGAATTTTTTTGATCCCAAAATTTTCGGATCACTAGACTTTCAGCTAGGAAATCCGAACCGATGAAAAATTTTTAGGGGATAAAAATATGCCTATATCTACCGTTCAAATACTAAAATACGTTTAACAATGCTATGTTTAAGTGGTTTTGAACTATATTCTCGTTGGGTGCCCCTGAATTAATCCTGCAATACTTGAAGTGGTTGTCTTCAAATATTGGGTTTCACTGTTAGGGAGGGAAAGATACAATGACTGACAAGAATGGAGACTGTACACCACCAAAACTTTGTTTGTCTGTTTGTTTTTAAGCTATATTACAATGCAATAATAACCACTCATTTCTTTCTTTTGCTTTCATCTTCATTTGTCCACTTCCCAGCATTCTTAATTCTGTTTGCTACAAAGCCATACATCTGTCAAAGAAGAATATTATTTGAATTAAATTAAATGTGGTGTGTACACACAGTCCTTTGGTAGTAACATCAAACAACTCTTTAGGCAATAATTTCTCTTCTTTCACATGGCAGCACAAGTTACAGAAAGTAGGACAGACTCCTACTTTTAAGTGCAAAAAAACATTGTGATCTAAAAACAAATTGCTCCACATATAAGTTGCTGGAATGGATCTCCAACAATGTTGCACAAAAACTTGATGAAGTAATAATTGTTCCGCGTAGAATCTTGCCCCATGTACAAGTTGTAAGGCCGGGTAGTAAAGTAATCCAAGACAATTCTGTATTCCATGCTGTAAATTCCAGAATCCTTTCCAGTGGAACTTGGATTCTCCATTCCAATCATTAGTGGGATTGCAAATTCCTTGAGGTGAATTCCAGATTCCAAAGCTCAGGATTCGGGATTCCACAAGCAAAAAATTCCCAGAATCCAGTCTGGATTACCTTACTCGAGGAACTTGCCATATTTTCTTGAATAAGTGCCCGGGTGCTTATTTCAAATTATGGCTCAAAGGATGGGGTGTACTATATCCCTAGTATTTTAGAAAGTGAGGGTGAGGAAAAAGAGGGGGGTGCTTCCTCAAGGGAGGTGCTTATTTGATATTATGGCACTTATGTGGGGGAGGTGCTTATCAGAGCATGAGCATGTATTCAATGAAATATGTATCATAAATAACTATGACTGATTTTCCTTTGAAACTCCTCTTCTTGTACTCACTTGAGTAACTTTCTCGACTGGATGACAGTATGATACCAGCCTTGCCGTTGTTTCATAGCATTTTGAACATGTGCCATAAACTCCATCCCAGACATCTGCATAAAAGAAACAAGAGTGTTGCCTGTCTACATTCACCACTTTTACATTTCCATTTCCCAGAAGACACATAATTATATAGTTTACCTTCCAGAATTCATAGTAGATGCTATAATTATGCAGCAGGCTAAAATTTATGGTGTATTGGTGCAAGGGTGGCACGGTGTTGAGAGCACTCACCCCCCTCTAATGTGGTGCGGGGTTCAAATCCCAGTGTTTGCACTATATGTGGGTTGAGTTAGTTCATGGCTGGTTCTCTCTTTTGCTCCGAGAGGTTTTTCTCCGGGTACCCCAGTTTTCTTCTCTACCCAAAACCCAACATTTCCAAATTCTAATTTGACCAGGGATCAGGTAGACGAAGCGGAACCACTAAGTGGATGTGCTACCTCTAAATCATTTTATTTCATTATTACTATTTTTTTGCTCCAAAGGAGACTTGCTTACTATTTCATTCAAACTCCAATTAAATGAATTTAGTCCTTAAAATCTTGTATATTTTTGTAATATGAAAGTCACAAACATTAGATATTTGGCGCACAGTCTTTGATTCTCACTGCATTATTTTTTACTCTTTTACTTAGGTCTAGTGCAACTTCCCACTGACAAAATCCCCATTGTAATTCACAAGACACATTGTTATATAGCTGAACATTTTGTGCCAACAGCATGCACTATCATTGGTTACTTTGAGGTCACATGACATCTAACAATGCCAAAACCTCTGAGCAGGAAACATTGTAAAATCTATGACGTCAGAGGGTAACGATGCACTGTTACCCACTGTTTCCCTCAGGACCAGTCATTAAGTATTATTTCTCACCTGTCAGTTTGATCCCATTGCTCTTGAAGTGTTCAACATTTTTCTCCATATTTGTTTTTTTCATTAGCATGATATCCATCACTCTTCTCGTAAGGCTTGGCATCTGTTCCTTGGTTGGATCTGTCTCACCATTAGCAGTCTTCTCTTCGCTGAAATCAAAATTATTAATGATCTTAAGCAATCCATAAATTCTAATATTGGTATTAACCGGCACAACTGTAAATTTGTCAATCTGATCTTTTTACTGTGGTCATTTCGCCCCAGTTATTTAGCCCCCTAAGTAACCTTTAACATCACTTAAAGAACAAGATATAATAACATTATTCAAATAACTGGAAAATAGGGAGCTAATTAAGTGACGGGGGCATAATGACTGGCTACCCTGAATTTCTCATCCCTTGTGTCTTCTCAGCAACATAAAAGATATTCTTGAAGACCACAGGGAAACTAATTATTTATTTCATTATACTTGCAAGAGGATAAATGAAAGATAAATCATTGCCCAGTTAACAAAAGGAGCACAGGAGGGCCGAGATAGAGCTGGAAGCTGGACTCTTGTCGCTAAAAAAAAGAAATTTCCAGAAACAATTGAATACCAAAAAATGAAGACTTCAAATGCTTTTGGAACTGATTTGGTAAGAATAGATGCTTGAGGGACTTTTCTGTTCTTTAAGTAAACATTAATTTTTAGTTTGCCACCAATAATGTTGTCATTGCCCTAGGTCATCATGAAAGACTGAGAAGGGACATAAATGGTTTGAAATTCTGTTCAAAGTTGAACTGATCTTTTAAACTAAATCTCACACTCAGTGTTTAAACCATAAGGTCACTGGTATCACAAATTGACACGAAAATGCTATATTCCAGTTAATACATGTAACTCATTGCCTATAACCAAGGTCAGACTGGAACCAATATTGTACCCTCGGTAAGTCGATGCGTACTTGTCATCTGCTTCAACTCTTTCCACTGAGATGTATGTGTGGTCATGAGGTTTTGGAGGTGGATGCTGATGCTCTAAAATGAATAGTTGATAGTTATAAAAATATTGCTTCCTATAATTGCCATATTTTAATTTTATCCTTGGTTCAATACTTAAATTATCTTACTTTTTACTAAAACAAGTTGTCTATTACATCTGAAGGATTTAAAGTTCTAGGACAATTTCATATACATGTAGGGCCAACACTGCAAACATTGACAATTTGTAAACCATTGCCACCCTGGAGCACTTTAGAAGCAAACCTGACTAAAGTATGAGTCAGATTGGTACTAGCCAAAAGCTTTATCTTTTAATTTGCTCCAGATTGGTCCACAGGCAAGGTAAAATTACCACTCTGACAGTTGACTCCCGATAACTCTAACCCTCGCTAACTCGAACCTTGCACTTAGTCAAACCAGAATTGATTTTCCCTTGATTTCTTTCATACATTTACTGTAATTGTACCATCAGTAACTCGAACCCTCAATAATTCAAACCTCTTGCTAACTCGAAGTAATTTTTGTTTCCCCTCAGATCATTTCAATGCAATTTTACCCCCAATAACTTGAACCATGTTTTGAGTGCTTCAAAAGTCAGGGAAAAAAGGTGCCCGTCCGTAACATTGAATTTTGAATTTCCCATTGACGTGTTGTAGGCATATAGTTTACTAGTGAAGACTGATGTTGTTTGTCACAAATCCAACATGAATAGTCACCTTTTACTTCTCAAAACAGCAAAACACATGCTCCATTTGGGCTATATTTTTTCACATTTAGTTCTGATTTATAATCAAGAAGTATCTTTCAATTTTCAGTTAATATTTCTACAAGTAAATGTGATTAAAATGTTCACCTTCTGGCCATTTTCTTCAAGCTCGCGAAACTAGAACTCTCAATAACTCAAACTTTTTTTGATTTCCCTTGAAGGTTCGAGTTATCAGGAGTCAGCTGTAAAGACAACTTCTTAAATTGTCAGTTCTCGGACAGACGAGTTTACTTGACCTTTCCCATTGTTAACCTGTTGTCTTTATGAATGTTTATGCACTTGCTCCTTCCAAACCCACAAAGTGATCTCAATCTAGGGTGTTGCCTTAACATTTATTCATATGATTCTCTGACTTGGCTTGACTTGACCTACACTTGGGTCAATTGAGAGAGAGGATCTACTGTAGTTGGTTGCCATAAACACAGTCCCAGTCTTTTCTTGACTCAACCCCATTTTGGGATCTTTAAAGACACAGGTAATAAAGCCGTTCTAGATCTATTATAGCCTGAGAAAACAGCTGACATTTAATTGCAACCCCACAACTGGTTTCCCTACGAAATAACATCTGAGAAAGGACTGCATCCATACTGATGAAGTGTCACTACCCAGACCTGAGAAGTGCTTCTGATTGGATGAAGCAAATTTTCAACCAATCAGAGGCACTAGTCCCAGACCTGGATAGTGACCCATCATCAGTATGGAATTTCTGATGTTGTTTCTCATACATCATTAATTTTTTGTGGGGAAACCACCCATATAATGAGTAAAACAAAAGTATATCTTAAAGGATAAAACTAAAAGATGATCAACAACACATATTAAGCCTTTAGCTTGACACAAATGATCTAAAGCAGAGCTATAGTAACTTTGGAAAAAACTAACCTGAGTCAATACATATTATGATCTGAAGTCCTCTAGTTTTACTGAGTTTCACGCTACTGTCTTCTGTAGGCTAAATAAATTAAATAAATTACACAATTAAATTTAAGCCCATGTTACATTTTGCAATGATGGCGATAAAGCTAAGTGGAGAGGGGTCAAGTCAGAACACTTCACCCCGGGCAAGTATAACTACCGGCAAGGGTGTCTCTTATTCCACCTTCCTTAACCCCTTAAACCCTAAGATCAAAATTTGAATTCTCATTTGTTGCCCCTATTCTTTTCCTACAGAAATAGTGGGGAGAAGATGTTAAAATATCAAGCAAATTCTTCTTGTGTGAACATGTCCATAATTCTCATGACCACTCTGTTTTACAAAGCATTGATATTAACAGGAGAAATTTGATGCTGATCACTCTTAGGGCTTAAAGGGTTAACAATACAGGGCTTGAAAAAAGTCCCATCCGTTAGTCTAGGACAAGTACATTTTCTTGCTGGGAAAGTAACTTTTAACCCTTTAAGTCCCAAAAGTGTCTAGCGTCAATTTTCTCCTAACGATATCCATACAATGTCAAGAGATTAGGTTATGAGAATTAATAAAATGATCACCTAAGGGAAAATGCCTTGATCTTTTATCAAATTCTCTCAACTTATTCTTGAAGGAAATGTATAGAGATCAGTTTGGAGAATTTGTATGTGGATATTGGGGCTTCAAGGGTTAACACTGACTTGAAACCCAATGGGCAAGGATCCCAACAAGTTCTAAGCTAGGCAAGCAGGAAGTGGCTCCAGGCAAGCAAACTGTGAGAGCTGCCTGCCCAAAGGACAGCTTAGGTGGAACTGCAGTTTCTTTTGAGTTTTTCTGTGGCTTTAGAAACAAGGTACTTTGTGAAATTAATACGAGTACATAGTACATGGGCCCTTGTTTCCTGCATGTAAATACATGTACTTATGAGGCATAATTAGAAACAAATACCACTTCATGTGAGATAATAATTAAGTCTTAAAAAATTTATATAAACACATTTGAGGAAAGGCCTAGTTTAGGCTATGTTCACTTGGCATCATACCGAACGAATTTTCAACCAGCTGATAAATTTGACCAGACTTTCTTCACACAGACCGTTCAACATTTTTGCTCTGTTCACAAGTAACTTGGCGGTTCAATGCACAAATTTTCAATCAGTCGAAAATTTGTCTGGTGTTGTGCGAATGTAACATGAAGTGTTGTTTAGTTTATTTAGATTTTCCAATTTGGCAGGATCACCACAACAGTATAAATCCAATATTACTGCAGGACCATACCACCAGGGTCTACATCCCCCAACCATTTTCAAATAGTTGTGTGCATTCTTTAATGTCCCCATCCATTAAATTGATAAGAAAGGATGAAGGAGACAACGCCCAAGATTTGGCCTCACTGCCCAATAATGAGATCATCTGAACTCAGAGTTCGTACACTTTATCAGGCCAAATATTCAAGGACTTTTCAAGGACTTTCCAGGACCCTCACTAGAAATTTCAAGGACTTTTTTTTAAAGACAATTTTACCTCAAAACCAAGAAAAATGTTTGTGTTAACATCTATGTTTTGGGTTTACAGATAGTGCAGAACATTTTCGATCTTGTTCAATAAAAACTCAAGGACTTTCAAAGACCAAAAACGAAATTCAAGTACTTTCAAGGCCTTGAAATCGGACTCCTGAAATTCAAGGGTTTTCAAGGGTTTTCAAGACGCATACGAACCCTGTGAACTGAGAAAAATAATCTTAATTACTGCAATGCTAGTAAATGATCAATGACTTTAAATTACCAAAGCATGATTTCAAGAACAGCCTGGAACCCGGGCTGCCCAAAATTAAACACTACAGAAACTGGTGACCAAAAGAAAGACTGGTCGACAGTTTTCCATCTCCCTTTTTTCCCCAAGTTGTCTACCTCTTCAACTAACATACATAAACTGTAGCTATTACATATAGAGTCACCAGCATAATGCATTATTATACTGCAAAACAAGAACAAATGACTCACGGACAAGCCATGATTAGCATATGTCTGCAGATAAATGAGAAAAAATCCTCATTTAAGCAAATGAAATAAAATCTAGTAAATTAAGTACAGTCAAGTCTTCTTGTACTAAAAAAGTGCAAAGCCACTTTAATATTAGTGACATATAGAGTAAATCATTTACAATAAATTATTTGGTAGTTAATTCAGCTATATGCTAAGAATGGGGAATTCTTTATCAACATTTATGGAGAAAAGGCCATTGCCAAAATGTTGAATACCTGTCACGTCATGTGTTGCAAAGAAATGCCAATATTATTGTTGGATTCTCCAGGGTGCCAAATTGGGTTAACTGTCTCATTTATAAAGACAATTTTTTTAACTGACTATCTTATAAACAGGTGTCTCTTTTGTAGAGTAAAGGCCAATTTTACAGAAGTTAAAAGTTCTAACATTTTCTGGGAAGAAAAGAAAATTTTAAATTTGTAAACAAAAACAGTTTTAGTACCTTCTGACTTTTAAAAAGATTTTGATTTTTTCCTGTCTACTGCATGTGGTTATGTTGTGGTTCAGTTTTATCCTTGGTTTAAATTTTAATGTCTTTTGTTTTTGGGTATGGTAATTTATGATTATGACTTTGAAACAAAAGAAAATAAAATTTAAATCAAGGATAAATTTGAACCACAACAGTTATACTTGATATTGTGAAAAGCTGTTCGTCTATCTGAGTATGCTGTGTTTAATTAAAAGCGGCATTCGGGACTGATAATACACTGTGTACATTTATTAAACTCCGACTATATAAAAGTTCCTTTTTTGCTGTCTGCTCACCAAAAAGGTCTCTTCTAAGTTGAAACTGTTTACTACCTAGAGGTATACCCCATTGACAACCCCCTTACTATACAATGGCAATACATCACACGAACACACTGTAATTGCAGAAAGACTTCCCGTAGTGCACGTAAACGTCATGCGAGCTTCATGCGCAGTAAATAAATCGCGCGTCTTGTACGTAGCAAATATGATCATGTATTAAAAAAGCATGGTCAGTGTATTATTTAACGCGTGTCTTATTTTTTCTTTGAACAAATCGCACTACATTTGTGCTACTAGAAAACGGACTAGACATCCTGTCAGTTAAGTTTGCTATGCGTACCTCTGTAAATAATCTTAAGCTAATTCAGCTCATATTTAAAACCTTACTTTGCCATAAATTCTAACCACACTGATTCCGTTGCAAATCTTGTCCTGATCAGCTTCGCTATTAACGTGATGCCCTTTTATACTTTTTGTCCATACACCAATACACGTTTCCTGCCAGTAGGGCTTTTTATTTTGGCCAGGGTTGGCTTTTCTACGACTTCGTTCGTCATCATCCGCCATATTCTTTGTCATCTGTCTGTGTTATCCTTCCAGGCCTTCTCTGATCTAATGTACGAAAAGCACTGGTACTGAATGGAGATTTTGGTGTGTGCTTTCGTGTAAGCATGCTTGTTTTTTCGCATTATTTGGAACTTAAAAAAACTAGCTGGCAATTAAATTTCAGACCCTGTGCACTTCATTTTCAGTTACCTTTGCTAACAATTCCCTTATTTTTACCTTTGAGTAAATACATTTTCCATAAAGCTAAAAAAGATCTCGCATTTATCTTGACCAAGGACATAGAGTGTTGTCTTACATCAAGCAGTATACGAGTTTGAACGAGAAAGAAATATTCGCGTGAAATGATTTACGAGGGAAAAGTCGCTATTGCGTCCTGCATTTCTTACATTCTCTTAGTTTTGATCATATTTTATGATAGAAGACTCAAGGAAGTTTGGGACTTCGCAACACCATGCGTTATCTTTGGCCTGAGTTTTTCTGTAACATTTTTTGTCCCACATAGTTCAGTTGTTAAGAGAGCGGCTGCAATTGGTAAGCTATAATTTATAGTTCTGTCGTCGTCATTGATGAAAGCATAATAGCGGTTAAAAAATTCACGTTACCTTCCACGGTCAGGATAACCACAAGGAAAGGTACATGCTGCACACGACAAGAAAAAGTCGACATTTCACGAAATTTTTCAGGGGTAGACCCATATTTCATAGAATTCTTTCAGGGGCGGATCTAGGGGGAGGGTGGGGTGAATACAACTGGTATTCTGCAAAAAAAAAGAAAAACTATGTGATTTTTATTGAATTGCACCCCCCTAAAAAAAATCCTCGATTCGCCCTGTTTATTGAATTCTTTTAATACTGGTAAGAACTCAGGTATGGATAGCCCGATAGGCCACTGTCTGCAGTCTTGACTGTAGATCGTAATTATATAAACTTATGATAACTGCATACATTATCTACGAACATGTTCAAAACTCAAGTAAAACCTGAGGTGCAGGTCTGTCTTTGGGGTCTGTAGCACAGTAATGCAAAAGTAATCCCAGGCTGAAAGTTGAATTTTTAACAAGAGCTGGAAAATATCAAAATGATTCTGTGTGTGGCCATGGAGTTTATTCACTGGGATTACTGCAGAAGAGTGCACAAGTCTGACACAGACAGAAATATTTGGTGGGGTGGTACTGTTACTAAGATTATTTTTCAATAAAATTTTGCACATATGTAATCTGTAAATTGTTACAAAATTAGTAGATACACTGTTTCAGCCTATGGGTATGGGTAAGCTAACATGTTTGCCTCGTAGTTTTATAAAAGGCAACCATTACGTTGTATTTACTAGATGTGATAATGGCGTAGCCATTCTACCCAGTAGGCTACCATTATTTTCTCCCGCTGGGTAAGAGGCAATTTACCCATCCTTACAGCTACGTGTAAAGCTAATTTACCCGTACCCATACACAGAAATGGTGTATTTCAGGTCTCTATTGACTTTTGTGCTTTTTACAACCTGCAGGTACTGTCTTTGGAGTTGCCATCCTGCTCATCCTTGGTAATTCAACCTTCAGGTTTTTTGGTTGGTACCTTGCTTCACTAGCATTCTTTCATATCTCTGAGTATGTCATGGTTGCTACTTATAGCCCGGACAAGTTATCTTTGGACTCATTTCTAATCAATCACAGTCCTGAATATCAGATTGCTGCTGTAGCAAGCTGGATTGAATTTCTTTTAGAATTATGGCTTTTTCCCTGGATGAAGAATATTGTCATTTTAAACTTCATTGGATTATTTTTGATGACTGGAGGAGAAGCACTGCGTAAGCTAGCCATGATAACAGCAGAATCTAACTTTACACATCTTATCCAGACTAAAAAGGACACGAATCATGTCTTAGTAACACATGGAATCTACAGTCTTTGCCGACACCCAGGATATGCTGGATGGTTCTGGTGGAGTGTAGGTAAGTTCACTTAAAACAAATGCCACTGAATTGAAAACGGGGGTAACATGACTGTACGTTGTGCTAACATCTTGCAAAAACTTTTTCTTAAAACAATGAAAAACTTTTAGCCTTAGAAAACTGCTGACATTTTTCATCGCTGCTGCTAGTTTTTGATTCAGTTTGTTTAACCCTTTAAACCCTAGGATCAAAATTTGAATTCTCATATGTTGCACCTATTCATTTCCTAAAAGAAGTAGTGGGGAGAAGTTGATAAAATATCAAGCCAATTCATCTGGTGTAATCATGCCCGTAATTCTCATTACCACTCTGATACAGACTGACTAGCACTGATATTACAAGGAGAAATTTGATGCTGATCACTCTTAGGGCTTAAAGGGTTATAGGTTGTGAGAAGTCTCTCTTTTGCTCGAAAATCTGTAGGCGAGAGTATTTGAGTTGGGAAGTCACACGAGTTGCGAGGGCGCGAGTGAAGTTGTGAATACGTATTCACCCCCCTTTTAACTCTTCCCTCACAACTCACCTGACTTCGCTACTCAAATACTCTTACTTACAGATTTTTGAGCAAAAGAGAGACTGCTCAAAGTCTAAAAGGGTTAAGGACTTTAGTGTAGCCTGCATGGCAGACATTGGAAAGGTTTAAAGGGGAAGGGGATTTGGGCGTTAGACAGGACACAAGGGAGAAGGGAGGAGAGTTCCTTACCCTCTCCTATTGTGTGCTGTTCATGCTTCATGTGCACCCTTCCCATTTCTTTTTCAATGTCTGCCACACTGTCATGCTAACTTCTGCCCCAAAACATTCACTTTTCTTGGGCTCCTCACCCCAGAGTGAGAGGATATTGGGGCAAAGGTTGTTTAAACTTATCTATAGTATTTAAATGTCTTCTTAGGTACCCAAGTCACTCTTGTTAATCCTATTTGCCTTGTGGCTTACATCTATGCTTCCTGGAAATTTTTTGATGATCGCATCCATGATGAAGAAATAACTCTTATTTATTTCTTTGGCGATGATTATTTGGATTATCAGAAAAAGGTTCCTGCTACTGGAGTGCCATATGTCAAAGGCTATGAGTTTAAGCCCCAGTTATGGAAATATCACCCGAAAACTGACTCTGCAAAGTTGTGATGACTGATAAGTGATGGCCTGTTCCAGATAGTGTGGACAGGGCATAGAGAAGTGAGCAGAAAAAACAATCTTAAACAAAATAGATGGAAAATTTAGATCCTCCTTCCTTTCCCTGAAATGAGGAATGGATAAATGGTGTGTTTTGGTGTTTGCAGAGCTTCATCCTCTCTTGCAGAAGGATGTGGGTTGCATTTTGTTCTGTGCGAGATTGTAGCTGTTAAAAGATTGTGCTTTGAAACAACTAACCAACATGTTGTAGAATTATTATGCATGTCTTCTCCTTAGCAGTTATCTTTTATGTAAGCATGCACATATCATGCTGAAAAATACTGCTGGTAACAAACAAAAAAATGACCAATGAAAGTGTGAAGTACAAAGTTTTTGAACAAAACAGACAAAAAAAAGAAAGTAGGGGTATTGCACTAAAACAAGGGCGGAAATTGTTTTTGTGTTGGAAAGTCCCCCTCAGCTGTCCATTTATCTTTCAAGTCCCAAGAGTGATCAAAGTTAGTTCTCCCCTAACAATATGAATGCATAATCAATAGAAAAGATTTTGATAATTTTATCATGGGCGACAAATTACTTCTTAATTTCGGCGCGAAATTTCAACGTTAATTTATATTAGCTACGCCATGTTTTTATGTTTGTTGTTTGGCGTTTGATGTTTTAAAAACTCAATTGAGCACTTCAGGCTCCTCTTAACAGTTGGACCAAACCGTATACACGCTGCCAGTTGATGCTGCTTTTTCTGCTTAAATTTGAAAACTGCCCTTACCATTTGCGCTCATGTACGTCTCTGTGACGGAGTTTTAAAATTTTATGAACGAAGATGTCAGGGCATTACAAGACGCTTTGGAAAACCTAAACCATGCACAAAAGACCATGTGCATCAAGAACGATTTTAACAGGTATTTTGTCAAGACATCTTGAAAATTCTGACTTTAAGCCAGATGAGCTTTGTATCACGTCTTGGTTACCATTTTTTTACTTGTGTCATTTTGAGCTCCCAACTGGGTGTTATAGTTAATAGGCGGGAGTTGTGGGGACGCTTCGGTTGGTTAAAAAACACGTGTCAGTGGTTTTCTAATCATATTAAGAAATACAACAAATGATGACTCAGCAATACTAAACAGCGGATTTTATTTTTATGGCATCACTTTAAAAGCACATTACAGCATCACATTAAAGATTTTAAGATTTCAAGTCATTGGCTTTGGCTTCCTCTGAATTTCAATTGCACTGTTCCTCGTACAGTCACCAGTAGCAAGGGGCTTTGAATTACATGGATACTGAGTTCTATGTGAATCCAGATGTCGGCAAAATTCTCTTAGTCATGATGACGAGTAAAAAAAACTTTCAGCGAATCGTTTTGCAGTGCGGTCAGATTTAACACACTGACAAAGATCGCGCAAGAAATGTCCATACCAGCTACAAAACTGCACATTTTTACATAAAATTTTCAAAAATTTGACCAAATATCCCTTCCTTTTGCTGAATGATACTGTACATACTTGACTCGCACAGGCCCAATAGCAACCATCTATTAATCTTCTTCGTCAAAAACAACAAAGAAAGGTTTTTTTTTAATTTACCTTTACTAACTTCAATTCTAATTTATAAAAAAAAAATGAATTCCCCTTTGCTTAAACAGCAAAAATTGTCTAATGAAGTTGAAATCTACTTATAATAAACTTACTTAAGTATTGCAATGCAAAACAAAGATGCGGGAAATAATTATGCCTAGGAACGCTGTTCTTTTTATTTTAGTGCATTCTTCCCTTAATCAAGGACGTGTATACCGGCCTTTTATAATGTCGTATTTCCGAGGGGAATACCTTTGAACCATTAACTTAATAATTTGCAAGAATCCGTCGAGTTTTTTAACTCGGAAAAGATAATCTTTTGGCGGATAGGAAGCTACCCTGTCCGTCTCATCAATGCCGCGTACCTTTTCTCCCACAGCGACCACGAAAATCTTTACCCCAGATCTTTTATTAAAGTGCCTGTGCTCTGGGTATGGTAAGATGCCCTCCCTTATTTGATTTGCCATCAGTGACAAGCAAAACCATTTTTCTTGCTTTAACACGGCGACCTTTATATTAGAAAGAGAAAATAATCGAAACTATTTTCTTGTTTTGACAGGAAAAATTCGAGCATATGGTTTATGGGAAGATTCACGTTACATGACTTCTTTTCATGGATTAGGGAAGAACAAGAAAATTTAAAACGAGTTCCATTTTACTTTGTTTTTTTTTTTCACCAAAAAGTTAGTATGGTTATTTATACTGAAGGAGGTTAAGGCCCTCTCAAGAAGGCAAAATGATAAAACTGCTTACTTTTGATAACCTGTTCCCGCCACTGAGACATTCTCGCAAAAACTCGTAGTAGAATGACGACGGTTTATCACGTTTTTCACGCGTTAGGTACTGAACGAGCCAGCAGTAGTAATAGGAAACATGAGAAACTTAACGCTGTTAAATTTCCTATTATTATGACCACCACTGTTGCTTTTTTTTTCTCTCTACATGTGAGCGCATTTTAAGCTGATTGCCTATGATTTACTTTGGCAACCCAAATGCAGCTCGAGGTTATTTTGGCAGGAAATCGCATAGCCACCCGCGTCACAACTAAAGAGTAAATAAAGACGAAAACGAAAAGTGAAAATTGTTTCTGTATCCGTATTGTCTAAAGTATATCAAGCTTAGATTAATTGGCGTGCCCACAAATCTGGAATATAGCCGAGCAAGAGAAAGACAGAGAAATCGAGAAAGTAGGCGGCACGCCAGCGAAGCTCAACGATAAAAAGGGCGACAGAGATCTAGAGCGAGAGATAAAAAAACAAAGGAGACTTTTTTGTTGGAAAAACGACATGAAAATTTTGTAATAGCGGCGGTGACAACATGAGAAATGCTAGTGGCCACCAATGGAAGCCCGGTGAACATGAGCGGCAGTAAAAAAAAAAAGTGAACAAGAACGCGTGCGACATTACCTTCAAAGAAGTTTCTGGAAGTTTCACGTTGTAGTCATGCAAAACAACGGCAAAGAAATGTAGAAAAAAAGTGTGCTCGTGCAAAAGTTGCTTTTTTGAGACCTATTGTTGTTTTTCACCGTCGTTCGGCGTTGCCTTCGCAGCTTAGCATTACACGATTTTATATTTTGTTTGAACAAACTTTAAATATCATTTTAAATCTGTATATTATGGTATGTAAACGGCTTTCTCTCTATATATAACCGTTTACATAAATCGCCTTAAATCGGCTCGTGGACCACACAGGAGAGACGTCACACACATTTTAAGTAAGGTAAGTTGTTTTTTATTGAAATCCTTTCATTTTCGTAGGCTGCAGAAGCGATACCCCATACAAATCCAACAATGCCGATGCTCGCCTATGCTCATATTTCGAGCTTGGGCTACCTGTGATAACCAGTAATGAAGATGCTAATAATATTTTCTTTTTTTTTACTTTTCCGCTGCTCATAAATCAGCAGTCGGTCAGTAAAGAACGGAAGTCACGAGGAAAAGATTAATATAAGACACTTACGCAAATAGTAACGGCTGTTTTGATTCCGCTGTAGGGTGGGGGAGCCCTGGCTGCTGTGAAATACAGCCAGGTAGCAAAACACAGTGGCAAATCGAGCCGCAAATCCTGACATCTTCAAATTTTTCCCGCGCTTCTCAAAGGGACTTCAAGTGTTTACTTCCAATGTGTAAGTGATATGTAAGTTCTAAACAAGAGCCGTCTGTCTATATATAGACAACGAATAACTTCCCGTGTATTGCTGTATGGACTTTAAGACGGGTGTTATTTTTCCTCGTATAAACGGCCCTCCGGGATCAGTCCTGTCGTCGATGCTTACACTCTATTCTTGTAAAAGGAATGTTATTTTTTCGGCCCAGGCCGAATATTCAGAATATTGATTTCCAGCTTTTCTTCCGTTTTTAGGCTAAAAATATTCTTCTACTATTCTAAAAAAAGAAAGAATTTATCATTTTATACGCTGAATATATATAAAAACAGGAAACGCAAGGTCCCATGCACTGTTTCAGCTGATTCACTGATTCGATTTCCACATTTTCGATCAAAACATTCGCAGTTTCAAGTAGATTTTATTCTAAACCAGAAATATTTTATAAGAAGTTGCAATTTCTCGGTATTTCTCTTTCACTTTTTACAAATAGTTCATTTTTTGACACATTATTAACCGGAAAGTAAGCCTTCAAGAAATTAAAGAGTCCATGATCAATTCACCCTCGCGCGTTCTAGTCATTTTTTAACTTTTAAGACAATACATTGAAAATAAACTTCATAGAAGCACATCTGTGATCAGAGAACACGTCAGCACAGAATTAGATTGTAGGTGAATTTTTGTAATCATCGATCGTGATAAGCTAGCTCGTTTTACTTGTTTGTGGACTGAGTCTGCCCCCTAAAGAGAGAGCGTACTGACTGTATATTTCAACTGTATTAGTACCTCATCTCTATATGTAAGCGCGAGCTACTAGGCATGACTAGGATGCCTCCACGGGATTTTGCCTTTCTGGGCCAAAAGCCAGGCGGCAATAGTATTTGTTATATTCCTAGACTTTCACTCAACTAAACACGGACTGCCGCATTGGTTGACTCTTGATCTCATGGCCTTGACTAAAATCAAATGTATCCCGATCGTGATACATTTGAGCAGTTGTACCCCGCTCGGGATACATTACAGCACGTGATCAAAGCATGTTGGAAAGTGGCGAGACAGAAGGCGGGAAAACACTCTGCCAGTGTTTTTTTTTTTTCGTGAATGAACACAACAACACAAAAATGAAGCCTCTAACTAAAAACCAACGATTTTTAAGGTTATCCCAGAAGAGAAACAGCAGCTGTTGGACGAAAACGATGTAGGTAATATAAGGAAAGAACTTTGTAAATCATTTGTTCGGTAGTTTTGAGAATTAAATTTGTTTTCTTGTAAGTACCAAGTCGACTGTTTTGATTCACTGCGGTTATTCTTTTGTTGCTGTTGAAATGAAAGACTAGAAATATAACAAAACACTTAATGTCTAGACTCTTTGGCTCGAAAATCTGTAAGCGAGAGTATTTGAGCAGCGAAGTCGCGCGAGTTACGAAGGCACGCTTGTATTCGCGCCTTCGCATTTGAAACAGATCTGCCCATGAGGGATTCCGGAATACGCGAGATTTTCGCATGTGGAATCCGGAATCTTGAAAAGGTTTGCTTGTGGAATCCGGAATACAGCTGTAGAAATCCCGAATCCTACTAACAATTGGAATGGGAGGAATCCTGAAAAAGATCTAGAATCCAGTAACTGGAATCCGGAATCCACGGCGTGGAATCCAGAGTCGAAGACTGTCTTAGATTCCTTACATCATGTACATGGGGCGAAACAGAGTTGAGGACTGCATGTAAAACAATGCATATACTTTTATTCATTTCACGCATTCCGTAATTTTCCCCTTATTTGTTCTAATTCCGACAAACAGTAGAAGGAAGAATGAACAAGTATACATGTCCTAGGTTCAGTTTTACCACCTACGAGATATTTTTAGTTTCCATGGTTTGTATATTTTTTTCACATTTTGTTACTGGCCAATTTTGTGGGGTAAAACATCGTTTATATATTAAAGAATATTTTGAAATTTTGAAATTTTAAAATTTATATATTAAAATTCATTGTTTGTTCCATAAGTAGCTCATAATGTATAACAAGAGAGAATGTGTGTAATTGAAATCCCCTGAAACAGACAGAAGTTCGATTTAGCAACGATTACTTACTTTTTTAGTTACTGATGTTCGGTCACCACTATAAAATGAAATCCATCATTCGTGATACTGAACTGAAAGAGCACCTTTTTTCCGGCAGACCAGATCAACCGTAGTAGCAGGCGCCTGGAAGTGTCCCTAGAAGTAACAAGCGCAAGAAAAAACGGAGCGCGCGATGCGGTTGCGCCCATTACTTCCAGGGACACTTTCAAGCGCCTGCCACGCAGGCTAGACCAACCACTGTTTGGCCATTTTCAACTGACAGTTATTAGTATCCTGACTACTGAACAGTACCTGTAATACAACACTTATCCCACTTAAAACTGGGAGATAACAGACCCGTCTAAAAAGCCGTGGCTTAACATTAGACGTCAGTTCAATTATACGGACAATATTTCGCCCGAGTCAAG